CTCTGCCCCTCTGCCCCTCTGCCCCTCTGCCCCTCGGCCCCTCTGCTCCTCGGCCCCTCGGCCCCTCTCCCTCTGCCTGCCTCCTGGGTGCTGGGATTAAAGGCAAGCCTCACCATATCCATCTTGTTATTTTTTGCCATCTGTGTTTGTGTTGCCCGTGCTTTTGTCTGCAATATCCAGATGAGAGTGTTAGACCCCTGAAGATGGAGCTCCAGGCTGTTGCGAGCTGTCTGATATGAAGACTGAGTTCTCTAGAAGAGCAGCAAGTATTTGTAACCATGGAGCTATCTCTCCAGATCCACATCCCCGCCACCTTTTCTTTCTTTTCTGTTTATAAACAAGATTTTACACTGGAGCAGCCGTATAGCCTGGAAATCGCTCTGGAGCCCAGGTTGACTTCAAACTCAATCTCCTCCCTCCGTCTCCTGAGTGCTGAGATTATAGGCAAGAGTTGCAAGGTCCTACAGTCCTGCTTCAGCTTTTCCTTTCATTGTAATGTCCTTTTGTTGCTTTGTAGCACAAGGCTACACGGTTTCCTCTGTTTCCCACCCCAATTCATTCATTCTTCCTGAAGTTCCACTGTGTTTGAGATAAGGGCCCAGGTACTGCAAGGCCTGCCTCAATGCCTGTAATCCCCTTTACATAGTGAGTTCAAAGACAGCCTGAGACACATGAGATCCTGTCTCAAAAAATTCTCCATTTACTCCCAGCTTCCTCCCCCCTACTCAGTGCACACTATCATCACCTGTGGCCTCTGCCCTGGTTGAACCTACTGCATTATTACAGGAAGTTTCTACCTGGCCTACCTGCTGCATCTCCTGACTCACCTTCAATTTGTTCTACACACAGCAGCCAGAGAATGATATTTGTGGTGGAATCTCATATAGCAGAGGGTAAACTTGAACTGTTCATCCTCCTGCCTCTGCCTTCCTAGTGCTGGATTAAAGTGTATATATCCCAATCCCTGGGTGAGCTCGGCTTTTTAATACAAGAAGACATTTGCCTTATGGAAACTGTATTACCATCCTCCGGTCCTCACTTTAAGGTCAGCTTCAACTTGGTGTCCAAGAACAGAAGGATGCACCTAGCAAAAGTGTGAAGGCAGGAAAGAGAACACAGGCCATGTCACTGAGTCTTTTTTTTTTTTTTTTTTTTTTGGTTTTTTTCGAGACAGGGTTTCTCTGTATAGCCCTGGCTGTCCTGGAACTCACTCTGTAGACCAGGCTGGCCTCGAACTCAGAAATCCGCCTGTCTCTGCCTCCCAAGTGCTGGGATTAAAGGCGTGCGCCACCAACGCCCGGCTTCATGTCACTGAGTCTTAAGGAATTTATTTGAAATCCAAAGGAGGCTTTTTTTGGTTTTGTTTTGACTTTTTGTTTGTTTGTTTGTTTGTTTGTTTGTTTCTTTCAAGACAGGGTTTCTCTATGTAGCCTTGGCTGTCCTGGAACTTGGTCTGTAGACCAGGCTTGTCTTGAACTCTGAGATATGCCTGCCTCTGCCTCCAGAGTGCTGGGATTAAAGAAGTGCACCACCACTGCCTGGTTTAATTTGACTTTTTTTTTTTTTTTTTACTTTTTTTTTTTTTTTTTAAAGATTTATTTATTTATTTTATTTATGAGTACACTGTCGGTGTCTTCGGACACACCAGAAGAGGGCATCCAATCTCATTATGGATGGTTGTGAGCCACCATGTGGTTGCTGGGATTTGAACTCAGGACCTCTGGAAGAGCAGTCAGTGCTCTTAACCACTGAGCCATCTCTCCAGCCCTTAATTTGACTTTTAAATTGATTATTTTAATCTATGGACTTTTTGTGTGTATGTGTGTCTGTGCCAGAAGACTGTGGAACTGAAATTATAGTTATGGGCTACCATGTGGGTGTTAGGAATTGAACTCTGAGCCATCTTTCCAACCCTAGGAGTTTTATTGTTTGTTGTTATTGTTGGTTTTTGGGGGGGTTGTTGTTGTTAAATTACATGTATAGGTGGTGTGTGTGTGTGTGTGTGTGTGTGTGTGCACATGCCCATGATTGTGGGTGCCTGCAGACTCCAGAGGGTTTGGAGCGTCTAGAATTGGAGTCACAGGTGGTAGTGATCAGCCCAACATGGGTGCTGGGAAACAAACCTGGATCCTCTGCAGGATGCTGTTTACTGATGAGCCATCTCTCCGGCCCAGCTGCTAGGAATTTAAAACAAGAGAATGGCATGGCCACCCCTGTAGGGTTTAGAATGTAACTCAAAGGTTGAATTCTTGCCTAGCATGTCTGAGGTCCTGTATTCTCTCCCCATCACCAGAAAAAAGGAAATCATTTGTGAACATTCAGGGCTGAGATGATAGCCTAGTCAATAAAACCCTTTTCCTGCACACACAAGGACCTGAGATGGATCTGACGACTTATAAAAGCTGTGTGCTTAACTACAGCATACTCCTGTTATCCCAACGCTGTGCTGGCCACTGAGTCTCATCAATTGGTGAGCTCTAGTGAGAGACACTGTCTCAAAACAAAAGAAACTTCTAGGACAGCCAGGGATACATAATGAGTTCAAACCCCCAAACCCTCTCCTGCCAAACAAAACAAAACAAAACCAAAAACCAACTCACTGAAATCCAATAGTCACATTGCAGAGAGTCAGTGTTAATAGCGTGCTCACCCTCAAACAGGACAAAACAGAACCACGCCCCTCAGGCCTCAGGAACCCGTCGACAAGAAGTTGGTAAACATTTTAAAAATCTAGAGCTAAATGATGTCTTCAGGGCACAACAGGGCCGAGTGGCCCGAGGTCTTATACAGGCTGCTGTGGTTGCACTTATACATGCTAACAAGGATACATGTCAAAGAACAACTGTCTGGAGTCATTGTTTCCTTCCATCAGTGGGTACTAGGGGTCAGACTCGGGTCCTCAGGCTTAGTGCCAATTGTCCTGACTCACTGAGCCATCTATCTTATCAGCCCCAACTTATATAACTTAGAAACTGTGTTCAAAGGGAGAAAATGTATCCTAGTGTTCATTTGTTCCTACCCCTAAACTACCCACCAAGGACAGTAGACAGACTTTGAGGAAGAGTCAGTTTTCTTTAAGGTGTGGCTCCTGGAAGATCAACTACACTCCAGTGATGGCTCCACACGGAGGAATATGAGGGCGGCACAGACTGGACTCAAAGGCTTTAAAGAAGACGAAGGAAAAAAACAGTAACAAACTCAGGAATGGCGATGCCTGACTTTAATACCAACATTCAGTTGGAAGGCAGAGGCAGGAGGATCTTTGAGTTCAAGGCCAGTCCAGCCATATAGTGAGAACCTGTCTCAGAAACCAAAAAGAGAAAAAAATCAAAACAATAGAAACAATAACAGTGAGTTGGAGAGAGGACTGTTTTTAAGCTCTCTGGTTGCTCTTTCAGAGGACCAAGTTCGAGTCCCTGTACTTCCACGGCCGCTCATAACCACCCTGTAACTCCAGTTCCACGATATCCCACACCCTCTTCTGGTCTTTGTTGTCACTGGTCACAGCATATGGTGCACAGTCATACGTGCAAGCAAAACTCTTAATACGCATAAAATAAGTAAGTAAATAAATAAATATTTAAAAATAAAAAGGTGGCTGGGCGGTGGTGGCGCATGCCTTTAATCCCAGTACTTGGGAGGCAGAGGCAGGCGGATTTCTGAGTTCGAGGCCAGCCTGGTCTACAGAGTGAGTTCCAGGACAGCCAGGACTACACAGAGAAACCCTGTCTCAAAAAACCAAAAATAAAATAAAATAAAAATAAAAAGGCAACACAAAGAAGCAGGGATCTGAGAGCACTTAAGTAAGTTAATCCAGACCTGTCTGCACTTCAGATGTGTGTAAGACCACACAATTCCAGAGAACCCAGAATGTGGAAGGACTTGTTCAGAGGACTCATTCCATGTGTATACTCCATTGGCAAAAACCTGGACTTCAGGTGTCTTCCTCAATCTCTTGCCACCCACTGTAGTTATGCTGGCTGGCCAGCAGGCCATGAGAATCCCCCTGTTTCTGCTTACCCAGTGCTGGGATTACAGGCATACTCTATCATATACTTGGGACAAAACTCAGGTTTCCATGTTCTGGCTGCAATCGCTTTACTGGCTGAGTCATCTCCCCTAGATTTAAGGTTATAACATATATCATTATAATTTATATATGTATTTGGATGTTTCGCTGAATGCATATATATGCACCATGTTAGTGTGTGGCATTGTCAGAAGATAAAGCTGGATCCACTCTGAGTTTATAGATGTTGGTGAGTTGTCACGTGGGTGCTGGGAATCGAACTTGGTACTTCTGGAAAAGTGGCCAGTAACCACTGAACCATTTCTCCAGTCCAAGGCTATTTAAAAAAAAAACAAAAAAAAAACAAAAAACAAAACAAAAAAGCATGTATTTATTTAGCTTCTGTGTGTTTGTTTTATGTGTGTGTTTGTTTTATGTGCGTGACATAGGAGGTCAGGAGAACTTTGTGGAGCAGGTTTTCGCCTTCCAGCTTTATGTCGTGGGCTCGGGGATTTGAACTCAGGTAGAGAGGCTCATGCAGCAAGATCCTTTACCTGCTAAACCATCTCACCAACCTCAGCAAACAGATGGACATAGGGTTTAAGAATATTCCTGTTCCTGTCTGAGTTGAAAGAGGCATTAGGCATTTCTGCTAGGCATTCCAGTACAAGAGCACCTTTACTTCCTACCTGGGGAGAGTGCGAAGTTTTATCTGGGACCTGGACGCGTCCATCCTAGATGCTTAGAAGGTTTAAAATTTGACTTAGGACCAACGCGAGTACCTCAAGATTTCCGTGTTACTAAGGCAACGCCCCTTCTCGTGCACCCTGGAGAAAACTACAATTCCCATAATTGCCCGAGCTACCCAGCCCCTCCTTAATGGAGGCGGGGCGCGGGCGAGCGTGGAACAGGCTTACTATTTCCTGCAATGTGATTGGTCCGCAGCTCGGGCGCGACAGCCAATGAGCACACTCTCGGAGAGCGGCGAGGGCAATATGGCTTCCTGCACCTGGTGACGGTTGAGGAAATTGAATTTGGTATCATGGAGAAACCACGGGGCGCTGAGGTAAGAGGGAAAGGGCTCAGGCCAAGCAGGAAAGGGAGCCCCGAACGCCTCACCCGGCGGACGCGCCGTTTTAGTGATGTCTTGGTGGTGGAGAGTTGCAGGATTGGTCAACTGAGGTACTGAGCTTAGTCCCGGCTGGAGGCCACAGAGGTTCCTTTTGGTCTGGTGACGAAGGAAGCAAGGCAAGCCAGGCCCAGGGAAATCGGGCTCCGAACTTTGTCATGGTTTCATGGTTCCGAGCTTTAGGATTGTGTGGCCTGTCTCTTCCACGTGGTAAGTAAAGAGAGGTCAGAGTTGATTATTACTGCACGCCTGGAGCGTTCACGTGCCGGTCTCCCAGTAAACTCACAGCCATCTTCTTTAGGGAAGGTTTAAAACACCCTTTTGGATTTTGGATTGACATAGCTGGAAAGTGCAAAAGGTTGTCACCAAGTATGTCAGTTTCCAAAACTGCGATATGCTTTTCCATCGTACAGCAGCCGGTGACCCACCGCACCTTGCATTTGAAGTCTCTTTCCGGTTCCAAGTGGTAATACTGCTAACTGTTATTGAGTACTGTTCTAAGTGTTTTACGTTTACCACCCCTTCCCAAAATATTATTAAATAGTGGTACTGTCCTCATTTGGTGGAAACCGAGGCAATGCAGTTGACTTGTGGATCATACAGCTAGGAGGCACTAGAGATCGTATTTGAACCTTGGCCCAAAGCCTCATTCTCTTTACCTTGTCTTGCCCTCCCTCCCCCTTTTTTTTCTGGGCCTAGATCAGAAGGACTTGGGCCCCCCACTTGCGACACCGGGGAGTGGGTCTTCCCCCTTTTCTACTACAAGCTAGTTACAGTTTTTATGTAGTATCTCATCTCTACCTCACATTCTGTGACCCAACACGTGTCATAGATGAGAAAATTGAGTCCCACAGACCTTAAATGACTTGTCCAAGGATCAGTAGCTGATTTCAATCACGGCTGTGGTACCACAAGTCGTCCCACTCAAAGCCTTCTTGGGATAGCCTGGGTCTCATGTTTTTCAGCCTTTTTTTTTTCTTTCCCTTATTTTTCCTTTGAGGAAGAAAACAGGTTTATTGAATACATTGCAAGGGATGATGGGCTAGGTAGCAACAAGAGGGCCTCTGCCAGCCTTAAATTTGTTTCCGAATTGAAATCATTTGGATGTACATATACTAAAGAGGAAAGAGTGAGTTTGAAATGCCTTCTAACACACTAAAATAATTTTTGAGGTGCTTAGGATATTTCCACATTATTATATAGATCTCTGATCCCTGGCATAATTTTTTGACTATGTGTGTCGTGGAGGCAATATTTTTTCAATAGATGAGTACTTTGAAATTGGAATTTTGCTCTGTACCCAACCTACCAGGATGAGAGGTCTTGGTGCTGGCAGAAGCTCAGACCAGTCACAGCTTGCAGTTAGCCATGCACTTATTGGAAGAAACACTCCTTTTTTTTTTTTCTTTTTTCTTTCTTTTTTTTTCCTGTTTTGATTTTGGTTTTGAATTTTGGGGAACTTGTTTTGTAGACCAGGCTGGCCTCAAACTCATAGATCCGCCTGCCTCTGTTTCCTAACTGTTGGGATTAAAGGCATTTACTACCACACCTGCCTTTTTCTTTCTTTTCTTCTCTCTTTCTTTCTTTCTTTCTTTCTTTCTTTCTTTGTTTCTTTCTTCCTTTCTTTTTTAAAGAGGATCTACTAGCCAGATGGTGGTGGCACATACTTTTAATCCCAACACTCAGGAGGCAGAGGCAGGCATATTACTGCATTCAAGGCTAACATGGTCTACAGAGCTAGTTCCAGGACAGTCAGGGCTACTGAGAGAAACCCTGTTTCAAAAAAGGAAGAAAGGGAGAGAGAAGACAGAGAGTGAAAGAGAGAGGTGAGAGTGTTGGGATCTACTGTGCAGTCCTAACTGACCTGGAACTTGCTGTGTAGACCAGGCTGGCTTCAAGCTCAGGGTGATACGTCTGCCACAGAGTGCTAGGATTAATGATGTGCACCACCATACCTAGCCTCCTATATGTTTTAAACGAATGTTCAGCATACATATAAGTTTTATTTATTTTATTTATATGAGTACATTGTAGCTGTCTTCACTCCAGAAGAGGGCATTGGATCCCATTACACATGGTTGTGAGCCACCGTGTGGTTGCTGGGAATTGAACAGGACCTCTGGAAGAACAGTCGGTGTTCTTAGCCTCTGAGCCATCTCTCCAGCCCCGTATATTGGTTTTTCATGACAGGATTTCTTTGTATAGCCTTGGCTGTCCTAGACCAGGTTGGCCTCAAACTCATTTAGATCCACCTGTCTCTGCCTCCCCACTGCTGGGAGTAAAGGGGCGTGCCACCACCATTGCCAGCTCAGTTAAGAGTTCTCACTGCTCTTTCAGAGGACTAACTCATTTTGAGTGAATTAGCCAGTTTGTAACTTCTTCCCAAGCCAAGCACATGTCATTTTCCCACTAGAAGACGCCACCTTCAGAGCCAATGGAAGAGGAGGAGGATGGCGACTTAGAACTCTTCGGGGGCTACGACAGCTTCCGGAGTTATAACAGCAGTGCGGGCAGTGAGAGCAGCTCCTACTTGGAGGAGTCGAGTGAAGCAGAGAATGAAGATCGTGAAGCAGGGGAGCTGCCCACCTCGCCTCTTCATCTGTTCAGCTCTGCAAATAACCGCTCCTTGGATGGAAGTGGTTCTGAGCCAGGTGCTTTCACAGTGGCCTCAAAGATGGAGCGGAGGCTGGAGGCTGTGGAAGAATTGGGGATGTGGGTGGAGCCATCCAGACATTTAAGGGACGGTCCGTAAGGCTCATGTCCTCTCTGCAGTCTAGTTTTAAAGTCTATTCTCCAAAACCTCTTGTGTGTGTTCCGCACTTGTTAAATTTCATTACATTTGTGTGACTAGGCTGGGCAGTCCCTAAGTCTGCATGTGAAGACGGTGAGACTCAGTGGTGTGAGTGCTTCCGAGCAAAGGGACAAGAGATAGCTTATGGGCTGCAGGCTGGCAAGTGTGGGCAGGGGATGCACAGGATAAAGTGGTCTTCAGGCCAGAAGGCAGGCATGGAGGCGGGCAGAGGAGAGTGGCCATGAATCACCTGGAAGCCTGTTGACTTCAGAGAGGCGGTACCTGGATGGCTGGTGACCCCGTGTGAGGGGTCACGAGTGTGGGCAGTGTGTCCTTGAAAAGAGGCAGTCTCCAGTCTTCGGACAGCCCCTCCCGATCCTTCACACTGGCACCCTTGGGCCGTGGGGTCAGCTTTCCTTCTATTCATCCTGGCTTCTCTTTTTTTGTCTCCTTTTTCACTTTTTCCTCTTTTTCCCCTCTGTCGTCTTCTCTTAGAATCTGAGAGCACTAGCAGGAATCATTAGAGAGACCAGCTGGTTTATAACCCTGGCTGCAAATTAGTGTCATCTGGGAAGCTGGGAAAGCCCTTAAGATGGCTGTGTCACTGGAGCCACAGCACGGTTTGCAGAAGGCTCCTCAGGTGACCTAGTGTGAGGTCAGACAGTGTAGCTTGTGCACTTGCCCCTGTGAGAACAAAGCTGCAGATAGTAAGGGACTGTGGCACCTGTCCTCGTGACACTTCTCTCTCTAAGACTTGTTCATGTGGATTCTCAGTCCCTTAGCCCCAGCTCTAGATACAGAGCCAGGGGAGGTGCATAGATGGAGTGGCACACTGGTCCCAGCTGTTGGCGAGGCTGCTGGAGGATCAGTTGAACCTGCAAGTTTGAGGGCAGCACATAGTAAGACTTGCTCTTGGATAAGAACCCTATACACTGTTCACTCCTCCTCTCTGTCAACCTCAGAGCCTAACACTCACATGGTTAATGCAGTGCTCTGGAATTTGAAGAGCCCATGTTTTTGTTTGACTTAAAGTAATTATGTCAGGGAGTCTCATGCAGAGTTCTCTTCCTAGCTGTCTGTGAGATGTGTGGTATCGTGGGCACAAGAGAAGCTTTCTTCTCAAAGACCAAGAGGTTCTGCAGTGTCTCCTGTTCCAGGAGCTACTCTTCCAACTCCAAGAAAGCCAGTATCTTGGCTAGACTGCAGGTGAGAGGAGCCACTTACACCTATCCTGGGGCCTTCATGCTGAGCTGGAGCCATCATGTGACTGGTGGCAAACGGCTTAGCCAGCTTAGGGGACTCATTCCTAGAGGTCATCTGAGGTACATGAGACCCTGCCTTAAAAAGGGCCCCCTATTAATTAATTAATTAGTTAATTAATTAATTAAGATTTTATTCATTTTTATGTGTATGAGTGTTTTGCTTATGTACTACTTGCTTACAGTGACTGAGAAGACCAAAAGACAGTGTCAGGTCCCCTGTCAAGTTGGAGGCAGTTATAAGCCACTATGTGGGTGCTAGGAACTGAGCCTGGATCCTCTGGAAGAGTAACCAGTGCTCTTAACCAGTGAGCCATCTTACTAGCCCCCTTACTTTATTTTTGAGACAAGGTTTCACTGTGTGACTCTGGCTGACCAGACTGATCTCAAACAAAGATCTGGCTACCTCTGCCTGCCTCCCCATTGCTGGGATTAAAGGTATATTCTCCCACGCCCAGCAATTCCTATTTTAAAAGGCCAAAGCTTTTGGTGTCTTTAAGGCAGTGGTTCTCAACTTTCCTAATGCTGTGGCCCTTTAATACAGTTCCTTAGGCTGTGGTGGTCCCAACCATAAAATTATCTTCATTTCTACTTCATAACTGTAATCTTACTGTTGTCAATCATAATGTAAGTGTCTGATTCACAAGATATCCGATATATGACCTCTTTGAAAGGGTCACATATTCAGTCCAAAGGGGTCATGACCCATAGGTTGAGAACTACTTCTTTAAGGTCAGACTTTATGCAAAGCTGTGCCTCCACTTGCCTGGTGTGTTGCAATGACTCCTGGCCTTTATCATTTAACTATCTTGTGTAAGTGAGCTTTCCCTGAGACACCTGATGACAGGTCCTCAGAATGTTCTCTCCAGGACATTTACATGTACAAAATGTTGCCTCTGGGAGCATGGAGAGGACTGACTGCAGGGAAAGTGTTAGGGAGAGGGGCTGGGAAGGTCAGAGGCCTGAGTGAGATGCTTCTGTCATCTGCAGCTCTGCTGATCCCATCCCTCCGGAACTGTCTCCTGAGTGTTCTCACTCATCATTACTTTTATAGAAGGTTAGGCAGCTGCACCAGGAGCTCACCCTCAGGAGTTCCAGTCAGACTCCTTACTTGGCAGAGCTCATGCCTGGAACTCCAGCTCCCAGGAGGCCGAGCATGGTAGTTGCAAACTCCAGGCCTCCTCTGTATCTCAGTAAAATAACAAAGCAAAATAGAAACCAGTTCAGGCTCACAGCTGACAGCTGCACACTTCTATTATTTTTTTTTCTCTCTCTCTAGGGAAAGCCACCCACCAAAAAAGCCAAAGTCCTGCACAAGGCAGCCTGGTCTGCCAAAATTGGAGCCTTCCTCCACGCCCAGGGAACAGGACAGCTAGCAGATGGGACACCCACAGGACAAGATGGTGAGACAGAATCCTGGGATGGGAGTCTAGAGTGGGGATGGCCTGCTGGGAAGTTAGGGATGCAGGTCTACAGTGAGCTGTCTCCACCTGCTGGCTTATGGCTTGTGTGGAAATGGTCTCAGACCTTCCTTTCAGTGGTCCTCAGCTGCCTGCTTCCTCCGTCACACAGAAACCAAGGGTTAGCTGCTTTACTTCTCTTTGCATCTGTCTTCATGGTTTCTCTCTCCCTGGTGCAGAGCAAGCCCAGGGTGTGTGGAGCAGGTGGAAAGGTCCCCTCAGTTTTCCAGGCATAGTGACTGCTGAGCCCCAAAGAGGCTGAAACTGCACTGTGCAGCTGAGTGGGCAGTTGCTGTTACTCCTGCCCATGTTCAGTAGGTGTGGCCAACGATTGGATGCAAGAGGATCAATTTAATCCTAGATCTGAATTTCCCTTTCTGTGGAGCAAAAAGGGAGAGAAGTTTCTCTCTGGATGCTTCACAGTCCTGATGGCCATTAGTGGCCAGGGACTTGTTTCTAGAGCCCCATGGGGCCTCCATGTTCGTGTTCTAACATGGTTGCTGTAGGTACCCTGCCTCAGCTCTTCCTTTGTGCTCTGCAGCTCTGGTCTTAGGGTTCGACTGGGGGAAGTTCCTGAAGGATCACAGTTACAAGGCTGCTCCTGTCAGCTGCTTTAAACACGTGAGTGTCCTGGCAACAAGGGAGGGACTGCCAGGGGACAGCACAGCTCAGGCTGCCCGCCTCATTGCTTCCCATGCACTTCAGTTGTGCTGCTCTAGGCTGCTCTAGGTTGGACAGCACCATTGAGAACAATGGCCAGAAATCCTCCTCCATCTTGTAGGCACAGAGAGATTATTCAGCAGTTCAGAGCACTTGCTCTTCCAGTGGTCCTGAGTTCAATTCCTAGCACCCACATGGCAGCTCACAACCATCTGTATTCCCATGGGTACCTAGACCCTCTTCTGGGGTGTAGACACAGATGCAGACAAAGCACCAATATGTGTATGTGTGTTTGTGTGTGTGTGAGTGTGAAATTATATACACACATAATTATATATAATGTATTATGTATATATGTATATAACTATGTATACCTACATATATAATATGTGTATACATATACAACATATGTCAGGTGTAGTGGCACACACCTTTAATCTCAGCATTTGGGAGGTAGAGACAAGTAAATCTCTCAGCTAGCTTGGTCTACAGAGTCGAGAGCTAACTGATAGCTATTTCAAAACAAAAAACGAACAAAAATTAAAATCAGAGTGTCTTGTGCCTTACACAACTGGCCCTGGTTTTTGAAGGACTAACATATTATTTACACAGTAGAGTTTGGTTGTTCTGAGTTCAGGGGTGTTCTTTTTTTCCATTCTTCATGTTTTGTTAACCCCTATTAAAATTATTTTTGTTGGTGGTGTGGTGATGGCACATACGTTTATTCCTAATACTCGGAAGGCAGAGGCAGGTGAATCTGTAAGTTCTAGGCCAGCCTGGTCTACAGAGAGAGTTCCAGGACATCCAGAACTACACAGAGAAAACTTGTCTACAAAAACAAAAAAGTTGTTTTTTTATTTGTGGGATTTTTTGTTTGTATATTTTGTTTCATTTTTTTAATTTTTTAGGTTTATTTGTTTTCTATGTGTTTTGTCTGTCATGTACATATATGTGTGTACACCACATCTGTGCCTGATGCATGTAGAAGTCAAAAGAGGGCATCAGTGCTGGGCAGTGGTGGTGCAGGCCTTTAACCCCAGCACTCTGAGGCAGAGGTCTACAGAGCAAATTCTAGGACAGCCGGGGCTACAGAGATAAACCCTGTCTCTGGGGAGAAAACGGGGGCGGGCTTCACATTCTCTAGAAGTGGGGTACTGCAGATGGTTGTCAGCTGCTGTGTGGGTGCTGCAGACTGAACCCTGGTCCTCTGCAAGGACAACAAGTGCTCTGAATCTCTCAGCCTTTTCAGCCCTGTGTTTGGTTTTGAGGAGTTGATTTTTGTTGCTTTAATTTTGGTTTTATGGCTTTTGGCTTTTCAAGGCAAGGCTTCTCTGTGTAGCCCTGGGTGTCCTGAAACTCACTAACTCACTCTGTAGAGGAGATTGGCCTAGAACTCACAGAGATCTGCCTGCCTCTGTCTCCACCAGGCTTGGACTTGTGTTTGTTTTGTTTTGTTGGTTGGTTTGTTTTTGGTTTTTTTTTGAGGCAGGGTATCATGTATCTCAGGCTGACTTCTAACTTGCCGTATAGTGAGGATAGCCTTGAACTTCTGGTCTTCCTGCCTCACCCTCCCAAGTGTGTGTCACCATGCCCAGCCAGCCGTCCACTGGTTAACTCTCAGGGCCCATCTTACTTTTTTGCTGGCACTAGGAATTGCATGCAATTTAACACCAAGCTGCACCCTCAACCTTGTCTAAGGCCCTTTCTGATCCATACACACTACAGTGGTGACTCCCAGTTCTTCCTGAAGAGCGGAGGGTTGAGGCCACTTTGGATGCCTTGGAGGAGCTTGAAGTCAAGAACTTATCAGTGCCCAGCAGCTGTACCCTGTGCTAGCCTTGAACAACATCTACAACAGGGCTTCTTCTTTTTTTTTTTTTTGGTTTTTTGAGACAGAGTTTCTCTGTGTAGCCCTGGCTGTCCTGGAACTCACTCTGTAGACCAGGCTAGCCTTGAACTCTTGAACTCAGAAATCTGCCTGCCTCTGCCTCCCAAGTGCTGGGATTAAAGGCGTGCGCCACCACCGCCTGGGTACAACAGGGCTTCTTTTGTCTCTATCTTTTTTAAAAAATTTAAGACAGGGTCTTACATTATAGGTCAGGCTGGCTCAGAACTGACTGTGTATACCAGGCTGTCCTGAGAACAGTCTTCCTGCCTCAGGCTCCCAAGTACTGGCACACGGGTGTCAGATGTCAAGTCCAGTTTCTTTTGCCTTTCAATCCCATGTCCTAATGCCTGACAGAAGGCCTCCTAAGGCTGTCTTTTGACCTCAGTAAGCCATGCCTGGCCTTCCTGGATTATCCTGCTTGCCCTGCGCTATGACAAGTTGGTCCTAGGTCCTACTATGCCCTTCTCTGAGTTTCTAATGAATGTGTCTCTTTTGCTCCCAAATTCTCCATTTGTATCGTAGGGAATTAGATCCTATTTAAGACAAGATTCTATATGCTCTGTAAAGAGCTTGCCTGGTGTCTGGGCCACTCCATGCTTCCCCAAGTCTATGTGAACCTGTCCACCTAGGGATGTGCTTTGTTACTGATTTGGGTCAGGTCTGAGAGTGAAAGAAGATGCTTTTCCTAAAGGAGCATCCAGTTCCCATTGGCGGCAAGTCAAGGATTAAGCATTGGGAAGGTAGCCAGAAGCCACCCAGTAGGCAGGGGCTGGGTAGAGTGTGGCTGTGTTCTGCCACCTCGATATGTAAGCCCAGGTTGAATGATGTTAGGGAGGTAATGTCTGTGCTGAGACACTGTTGTACAACTGGCCAAATGACAGATATCCAGGTGCACCATGGTGTCCACACTGATAGTCAGGAGCTGCCCTGGAATGATGAGAACCAGGTCTGTGTCCCTGGCCCTCCTCCCGTGCCTCTGCCTGATGGTTCCCTGCCCTCCCATGTTTCTGGACAGTGGACATGCCCTGTTTATCTCTATTCCTAGTTTCTGCACCGTGCATGATGTGAAGTGAGGGTCAGAGGACAGTGGGGCTCAGGCCTGAGGGGCTGGTTCCTCTCAACCCGTCAATGCTCTCACTGCACAGGTGCCCCTCTATGACCAATGGGAAGACGTCATGAAGGGGATGAAGGTGGAAGTCCTCAACAGTGATGCTGTGCTCCCCAGCCGGGTGTACTGGATCGCCACTGTCATCCAGGCAGCTGGTGGGTGTTCCTCTGGCCAGGGCAGGGTCTGAAATTTATCTGCCATGTGTCATATCTAGTAGGTGAATAGTGTTACAGGTTGAAATGGGTTTCATAACTCAAAACCTCGCCACTGGCTTTCTTTCCTCTTCTTGGGGCTTCTCCTCATTTAGTTGAGAGCACAGGACGAACATTGAAAGTTAGTTTTGTTTTGTTGTGCATTGTGTACGTTTAGTTGATTGTTTTGTTTTTGAGACAGGGTTTTGGGTTTTTTTGTTGTTATTTATTTATTTATTTATTTATTTATATGAGTACATTGTAGCTGTCTTCAGACACCTCAGAAGAGGGCATCGGATCTCATTACGGATGGTTACGAGCCACCATGTATTTGCTGGGAATTGAACTCAGAACCTCTGGAAGAGCAGTCAGTGCTCTTAACCACTGAGCCATCTCTCCAGCCCCAAGACAGGGTTTCTCTGTGTAGATGTGACTGCCTTGGAACTCACTCTGTAAACCAGACTGGTTTCAAACTCAGAGGTCTGCCTGCCTCTGCCTCCTGAGTGCTGGGATTAACGGTGTGTACCACCACTGCCTCATTTTTTTTTTTTTTTTTTGATAAGGTTTATTCTGGGGATGATGAAGGTATAGAAGAAATCACAGGCTCAGAATGCTTTTTTTTTTTTTTTTTTGGTTTTTTGATTTTTTGATTTTTTCAAGACAGAGTTTCTCTGTGTAGCCCTGGCTACTGGCTATCCTGGAACTCACTCTGTAGACCAGGCTGGCCTCGAATTCAGAAATCCGCCTGCCTCTGCCTCCCAAGTGCTGGGATTAAAGGCTTGCACCACCACTGCCCGGCCCCAGACTGCTTTCTAAGAGTGCAGTATGGACATTGTTTTGTTCTGAGTGTCGGGGACCCCACTAGCCTGGAAGGAGCTCCTAGAATAGGAAGTAGGGAATCTGACTGGTTCTAGAGAAAGAAGAAAGCCTGAGAACATGCCTTCCCACGCCACCCCTCACAGGTCCCCTTATCCTTCCTTTCAGGGTACAGAGTGCTGCTCCGTTATGAAGGCTTTGAAAATGATGCCAGTCATGACTTCTGGTGCAACCTGGGGACTGTGGATGTCCACCCCATTGGATGGTGTGCCATCAACAGCAAGATCCTGGTACCTCCACGGAGTGAGTTAATGAGAAAGCTCCCATGCTGGTTCCTGTAGGGCTCTGGGCAGAAGCCTTCCCTAGCCAGTCTGGAAGTCCTGGACAGTTTGGATTTATAGAGCCTGTTTGTTGGTCTTGTTTATTTATATTTATATATATATATATATATATATATATATATATATATATATATATATATATATTATAGACTTACTATATATATTTACTTTATGTGTATATGTGTGCCTGAGTGAATGTCTGTTCACCATGTTTGTGCAAGAGCCTGAGAAGGTCAGAAGAGTTGTTGGATCCTCTGGAACCGGGGTTAGTGATGGTTGTGAATCACCATGTGGGTGCTGGGAATGGAACCCATGTCCTCTGGCAGAGCAGCCAATGCTTTCAACTACTGAGTCATCTGTCTAGTTCCCAGAAGCTGGATTTATAAGCTGATGTTATCACTGGCCTGAAGTTGCAGAAGTTAATAACTATGTCTGTGTAGCTGATCTCCGGGTTAATGAAGGTGTTATCAGTCTATGTCACCAACTTCCCCATGTCTCTCCAGCCATCCATGCCAAGTTTACTGACTGGAAGAGCTACCTCATGAAGCGGTTGGTGGGTTCCAGGACACTTCCTGCCGATTTCCATATCAAGGTCTGGCTGAGTTTCCAGCTCATTCCTCTCCCCACCTTTTCCCCCTCCTCTCCTTCCCCTCCTTCCTTCTTCCTTCCCGCTTCCATCCCCCAGTTTTCCATCCTTCATATGATTCATTTCAGGCGTTTGTTTTGTTTTTGTGGTTCTGGGGGTGGGACCTAGGGATTTGCATAAACTAACACTGTGAGTAATGCCCCTAGTTTCTCATTGTAATACTCTTCTGTGACCTCTTAGGCAGACTTCAGCCCAGTGCTGCTTCAAGTGCTGGGCCACTTGCCTCCCTGCCAACACCCTGGTCCACCATATTAATCATGTTGCTTTATTGGCTTTTTGGATTTTAAAGTCCCCCAGATTCTTGACTTTGCTTCTAGGATTTTCAATAGTATCTGAGGTTTCTATTGCTGTGATAAAACACTGAGACTACAGAGCAGCTTTGAGAGGAAATGGTTAGTTTTGCTTACACTTCCACATCATAGTCCATCATCCAAGGAAATCAGAGCAGGAGCTCAGGGAAGGAACCTGGAGGCCAGAGCTGAGGTGGAGGCCGTGGAGGATATCTATGTACTGACTTGCTCCCTCACAGTTCACTCAGATGAAGTGCTAGCTTATCTATTTTTTTGTTTCCCCAAGATAGAGTCTCTCTGTGTAGCCCTGAGTGTCCTGGAACTCACTCTGTAGACCAGGCTGGCCTCAGAACTGTAGATCTGTCTGCCTCTGCCTCCTGAGTGCTGGGATTAAATTGATGTGCCACATTGCACAGCTTCAGCCTGCCTTCTTATAGCATCCAGGAACACCAGCTTGGGTGGCACTGCCCACAGTGGGCTAGACCCTCCCACATCAATCATCAGTAAAGAGAAATGCACCATAAACTTGCCCACAGCCCAGTCTGCTGGGGCATTTTCCCAATTGAGTTTCCCTCTTCTAAATGACTTTAGCTTGTATCCAGTTGACATAAAGCAAACTGGGCAACACAGAGTAATCACTCAGATGCTCAGATGTATGTATTATGTGCTAGTAAGTGACGGACGGCACTGTAGGCTGGCCATGGAGGGACATGCCTTCCAGCACTTGAGGGCCAAGGCAAGATTTTTTTTTTTTTTTTTTTGGTTTTTCGAGACAGGGTTTCTCTGTGTAGCCCTGGCTGTCCTGGAACTCACTCTGTAGACCAGGCTGGCCTCTCGAACTCAGAAATCCGCCTGCCTCTGCCTTCCAAGTGCTGAGATTAAAGGCGTGCACCACCACTGCCCCAGTGCCAAGGCAAGATCTTATAGTGAGTCTACATGGTGAGTCCAGGTCAGTTTGAGGATCGAAGTTCAATTCCTAGCACCACATCAGACAGCTCAAAACTGTGACTCCAGCTCCGGGGGACCTACTATCCTCTTCTGGCCTCCTCAGGTAACCCCACACACATGAATGTAGATACACATGAATAAAAATAAAACAGAGCACCATGAGAATATAAGAGAAATACACACACACACATACATATATATAAAAAAACTTTTCCTGCCTAAATTCTCCAGCCTGGTGGGAGAAGTAAGAGCCATGCCCACAAATAGTGATAATCGTGATGAAACAGCCCGCAAGCTGGAGGACTGGCTCCGGCTGCGCCTCCAGAGCAATTCCTGAGTGCACTCCTAGCAACGGCATGGTAGATAACAACCACCCATAGTGAGATCTGACGCCCTCTTCTGGTATGCAGGTGTACATGCAGATATACATTAAATAAATAAAACTTTAAAAAAAAACAAAAGCCAAAAACAGCCCCCATCTGAACTGGGGCTAGTCAACCGTCTGTATGGACATAGCAGTTCAGCCAAAGAAAGCTACTTTGGCTGGACATGGTGGCGCATGCTTTTAATTCCAGGACTTGAAATGTAGAGGCACATCCGGGTTGTGGTGGTGCGCGCCTTTAATCCCGGCATTTAGGAGGCAGAGGCAGGTGGATTTCTGAGTTTGAGGCCAGCCTGGTCTACAGAGTGAATTCCAGGACAGCCAGGGCTACACAGAGAAACCCTGTCTCGGAAAAAAAAAAAAATGTAGAGGCACATGGATGTCTGTGTGTTTAAGGCTGGTGTGGTCTACGTAACAAGCTGTAAGCAAGCTGGGACTCTACAGTGAGATCCTCTTTCATAAAACAGCCAAGCCTTAGAAAGCTCCTTTGCCCAACTGAGGCATGCATGTCTACGTAGGGACTGTTGAGACAAGAGAATCTGAGGCTTGGAGAACACTGTCTCCCACCCTGGTTCCCACCTCAGTGGACCTCACTGGGCCATCTCTCTGATAGGTACCTGGGCCACCTTGAGGTCTCTTGCACGAGGTGTTCCAGGCATCCTTATTAGCTTGTGGAGGCTTCCCAGCAGGACATGTTCTCAGAGGAACAGGTTTCCAACTGGTTTCCCAGAGACAGTGGCTTTTGGATTGTCCCTGCATGGGTACTGTGGAAGCCAACTCTGAAAGCTGGGGTGGACATTGGGATGTCACAGACAAGGCCCTGGGTGTGGGTTGTCTGAGCTGCTAGAGATCTGGCTTCTCCCATGTTGTGGGTCAGTGCACCTCATAGAAGCAGGCCTCTTTTTCCAAAGTGGAGACTGGTTTCCCTTTGAAATTACTGGGTTCTTGTGTCTTTTGCTGTCTGTTTCCTCTGTTAGCTTTCCTTGTGCTCCATATTCAGGCAAGCCAAGCTTTGTCTCCTGTTTCCTCCTTGTTGCAGAGTTGGCAGATTTAGTGACTGGGGCAGTTGGCTTCTTGCTCAGCCAGCACTGTTACAGACAGATGATGGCAGGTGGTGTGGCCCACCAGCCTCCCTTCTCCTCACACTCACAAGAATATGGGTGTGTTCCAGGTGGACCAGTCTGTAAGCCTGGGCTGTTGCTCCCTGCCTGTCCTGCTTTGCACTCTGGAGGAGCAGTGGGTAGAACAGGACTGCTAATCCCTGGTTGGAGCAAGAAGGTGACTAAAGAGAACAAGATGCTGGTCAGACAGTAGAGGGTTCCAGACAGGCTCATTGGGACGGATGTCACTGCCTCAGAGAAGACTTATGGGCTTTGACAGGGTAACCCCAACTTAGGCGTTTCCATTGGGAAGCACTGGGCTGTTACTTTGCCAGGCACCTCTGAAAGCAAGGGTGGTGGGGCAGAATGGGGCAGTCTTGTAGAGAATGCCCCAGACAGATCCTTTGCTGACAGTATAGTAAGTGCCCAGTATGTGGGATTGTTGTCTCTTTTTTTTGTTTGTTTGGTTTTTTTGGTTTTTTGAGACAGGGTTTCTCTGTGTAGCCCTGGCTGTCCTGGAACTCACTCTGTAGACCAGGCTGGCCTCGAACTCAGAAATCGGCCTGCCTCTGCCTCCCAAGTGCTGGGATTAAAGGTGTGTACCAACACTGCCCAGCCCGAGATAGTCTCATACTGGCCAAGGCAGCCTCAAACTTGTTAGTATGTGAGGGGTGCCCTTGAACTTTCACCTTTACTTACAGTGCATGGGTAGAAGTGTCCAGGCAACCGTGTGCCTCCCAGGTCTTGAGGCTTGGCAGTAAAGTCCTTTTACCCATTAAATCATCTAGTAAGCCTAACCATGAACTAATCCTCCTGCCTCTGGGTTTTAAGTGCTGAAGTTATAAACAGGAACCATAAAACCCAATGCACTGTAATATCCTAGGGGTTTTCTTTGAGACAGGATCTCTTTACTTAGTACTGTCTGTCCTAGAACTTAGTATGTAGTTCAGACTGTCCTTGGAACTCGCAGAGGTCTGCCTGTCTCTGCCTCCTGAGCTCTGGGACAACCAAAGGTGTGCACCACCATGCCCAGCCCACAGTAATGGTTTGGTATCTGCGTGCAGTCATTCATTCTCTTACAAAACAGACTGAATGTGCCTAGCTCTGAGCTGAGAATGGGCCTTCAAAGGAATGTGTTCGAGAAGGCCAGGCAGAGTAAGTGGTTTAAGCCTTATAAGCCCAGACCTATGTTACTTTCCTAGAAGAGCTGCTGTCACCTGTGGTTGGTGGTAGGTAGTCTAGCTGTGAGCTTTGGAAAGGCGAGCTCTGTCTAGTTTCATATACTGGGTTAGCTCCTGTTACTGTGTTGTAACCTCTAAGATTGCCCCCTCCAGTGTGTTTAGAAACAGCCCTGCTTAGTCTCAGCATCAGCAGGCCAGAACTGCTCTTGAGTGAACTGTGTCCTGATACTAAAAAGCCCAACAGCCCACCCTAGATGTTGACATCCTGGTTGTTGTCTTGCACTTTGTGGACTGCTGTTAAACTGTGCTAAGCTCTAGGAGTCACATGTGCAAACTAGTTCACACACACACACACTCCACTTAGTCTAGGCTGGGTTTGAACTCCCTGTGATCCCAGGTAGGCCCCTACCCCTTGTGTGCTAGGATTACAGCTACGGTACCACTGGACAGAATCTTGCATGTGCCACGCACAGAGGGCCAGAAGGTAAAAGACAGCGATCAGTGCCGAGGGGTCAGCATAGAGCTTGTGAAAAGCCCAGGCTGGACCCCAGGACTAAGTCTGCCTGCACTTTTCTAGGTCATTTGAGTTTCTTGATCTGAAGTAGATTCTGGGGTTTCCATCATCCTGAGAGCTTGTGAGACGAGGTATCCACTGAGAACTGCAGGCTGCCTGCTGTACTATTCTAAGATGAAGGGTCAGAGACTCTGAGATTTTACCATCCTTCCTTGTCTTCTCTGTCTCTTAAAAGAAAAAAAAAAAGATTTATGTGCATAGGTGTTTTGCCTGCATGTATGTCTGTGTTGTATGCATGCTGTCCCTTGAAGGCCAGAAGAGGGCATTGGGTCTCCAGGAACTGGAGTTATAGAAGGTTGTGAGCTGCCATATCAGCACTGGGAATCAAATCTGAGTCCTCAGGAAGAGAAATGCTTTTAACTGCTGAGTCACCTCTACAGCCCCTCCTTTGCTGACCTTTTGTTTAGTTTGCTTTGGTTTTTCAAGACTGAGTTTTCCTTTGTAGCCCTGGCTATCCTGGAACTCAATCTGTAGAGCAGGCTGGCCCTCAGACTCAGATCCACCTACCTCTGCCTCCTGAGTGCTGGGATTAATTAAAGACCTGCACTGATGCACTCAGCTTTTGCTGACAGCAAGAAGGTAAGGCTGGATAATTGAAGCAGGTTGCTTTCTTGTGTCCTTGCAGATGGTGGAAAGCATGAAGTACCCTTTTCGACAGGGCATGCGCTTAGAGGTTGTGGACAAGACCCAAGTGTCACGTACACGTATGGCTGTGGTGGACACAGTAATTGGGGGTCGCCTACGGCTCCTCTATGAGGATGGTGACAGTGATGATGACTTTTGGTGTCATATGTGGAGTCCCCTGATCCACCCAGTGGGTTGGTCACGGCGTGTTGGCCACGGCATCAAGATGTCAGGTCAGTAGAACCCCTGGCTGGTGTGACTCCAGGCTCAGCTTCCTCCTAAAGATCAGTAGGACCTTTGCTGTACCTCACAGTAGTGCAGTGAAGTGGACTGTCATTGTTTCCCTGCAAGTGACTGTGTTGAGCATCAGAGAGGCCAGTGACTCAGGTCACTCAGCTCAGTCTGAACAGCAAGGTGTCCTGCAGATGGTATTGTCACAGTGCCAGCACCAAAGAGCCTGGGTCCCTTGTGCTGAAGAGTCCACACTACTGCTCCAGGGTCCTCTGTTTTCCCATTTAGGGAAGCAGTTGGGACACAGCTGAGAGCAAAGGTAGCCTGTCTGGCCACATAATTCTGGGAGAAGCATATGATAACCAGTGGCTGTCTTCAACTCCCTTTTCTTTCTTTCTTTTTTTTTTTTTGGTTTTTCGAGACACGGTTTCTCTGTGTAATCCTGGCTGTCCTGGAACTCACTCTGTAGACCAGGCTGGCCTTGAACTCAGAAATCTGCCTGCTTCTGCCTCCCAAGTGCTGGGATTAAAGGCGTGCACCACCACTGCCCAGCTCAACTCCCTTTTCTTCCACTCTTCTCTGTCATCTCCCCTAGATAGACGATGTGACATGTCTCATCACCCTACCTTCCGGAAAATCTACTGCGATGCTGTTCCTTACCTCTTCAAGAAGGTGAGGTGCAGCCTGTGGGCACTTCTCCTCTTTGCCATATCCTTCATTGGCTTCTCGGGGACTGTCCCTTGTCTGTTTTGTAAGAGATTGTTCTGCCAATCATAACATACCAAGAACCTTTTTAGATTGAGGCAAGGTCCCACTGTAGCCCAATTTGGCTTGTCACGGCTTCCTAAGTTCTGGGGTATAGGTGGGCACCACCCAGTAGGACTGTCGCTTGCCCTCTGTTGCCATCCCAGGCCTGCAGTATCTGAAGGATTATTCCTGTACCTTCTCCTGAATCCCCAACTGCTTCATTCTTTTAAGGTCCGAGCTGTCTACACAGAAGGTGGCTGGTTCGAGGAAGGAATGAAACTAGAGGCCATTGACCCTCTGAATCTGGGCAATATCTGTGTAGCAACCATCTGCAAGGTGAGCCTAGGCTGCTCTTCCCGACTCCAGCATGGCTTTCTGAGGGTCTGATGGCACAGAGCTTTGTTCCCACTGTAAGCTTCTTGGGGCTCTGATACTCGCTGCTCATTTTGCCCTTAACTTCTGTATAGTAGAGGGAGACTATTCCTGCTTATTACTCAGAACCTTCATGTTAGGGTTTAGACTAGATAGCTTGAGCGTTGACCTGTGTCAGGTATAGGTATAATTTTGCTCCCTCGAGTAGGCCTTTCTGCCACTAGCCTCTCCTTTGCATGCCCAAAGCCTCAGCTCAGCTTCTTGCTCCTACCTGCCATCATTGCTGCAGCCTAAGGACACTGTTAATTGTCCACCTAGCCTGCTCTGTGTCCACCTAGCCTGTTCTGTGTCCACCCAGCCTGCTCTGTGTCCAGCCGTATGCTCTCTACATACTCAGAGCCTGGTGGCAGTAAGGCAGGGGCTTCCTGGCTGGCATGGGTTGGCCATCCAGTGGCGAGGGTACACTGTCCCTCTAGTACCCATTCCTGAGTACTGGGTGCCCTGCCAAACACCAAAAACTGGGGTATTTTGGCAGAAGGCAGGATTCAACCGTCCATTTGGATCTATGTCTCGTGTCCAGTCATAGTCACGTCACTTGAAGGGCTTGCAGTGAATGACACATGCCGTCCTCTCCTCTGTACCCTCCCCAGGGCTTCTTTGGCTTTGTTTTTAATTGCATTCATTTATTATGTGCATGGAAGTCAGGACAGTTTTGTGGTAGTTGGTGTGTCCTTCCACTGCATGGGTTCCAGGGATCAAACAGATCATGCTGGACAGTTTTTACCCTTTGAGCTATCCTGCTGGCCCCTCCTAGGTGCTCTTGGATGGTTACCTGATGATCTGTGTGGATGGGGGCCCCTCCACAGATGGTGCAGATTGGTTCTGCTACCACGCCTCCTCCCATGCCATCTTCCCAGCCACCTTCTGCCAAAAGAATGACATTGAGCTCACACCCCCAAAAGGTAAGGCCTTGCAGGGTGAGGCCACAGCCCAGATCCCTGATGTGTGGCACCTTGGCATGAGAGAGAGGATGGGCCTCTCTAGCCACCACCACCTTTACACTGCCTGGGCTGACCCAGCTGATCCATGTATAGCTGCTGAACAGGACTCCTTTGTGTTAGGGCGGTCCAGGAGCTGTGCAGCAGGACTGTCCTAGAGCAAGTGTCACGCTAGAGAGAAAGGTAGCTGCAGACTACACCGGGACTCAGCTGCAGGGTCCCCGCAGTGTGCCGATCTGCCCTTAACCCACCCCCAGGTCTGTCTTTGTGACTCTCCCTTCCTCTCTCTTCTTCATCACTCTCCCATCCAGGGTATGAGACGCAGCATTTTGACTGGGAGACCTACTTAGAGAAGACCAAGTCAAAAGCAGCTCCAGCAAGACTCTTTAACATGGTGAGGAGACTCCAGACTCCAGTGCTGGGGTCAGGGAGTCTGTGGCAGCCGGGGGCAATTTCAACCTCCTCCTTTAAGTCTTCACTGCTGGGATCAGTAAAGCAGCTTCTAGAAACCTCTGTGATGTGTATACCCGCTGGGCCACAGTATGGACTAGTCCCTTTTCCATAGAGGGGTTGGCACTTGAGAAGTGAGTGAGATCACTGTCTGAAGGAGCCTCTTCCAATGGCTCTTCTCCCTACCCTCAGTTCCACCAGCAGCTCCATGCCTACCTGGACGAGCCTGCTAAGGCCTAGCACTGACCAGCTGGGCAACTGCTTTCTTCTCCCAACCAGGATTGCCCCAACCATGGCTTCAAGGTGGGCATGAAGCTGGAGGCTGTGGACTTGATGGAGCCCCGGCTCATCTGTGTGGCCACCGTGAAGCGGGTGGTGCATCGACTCCTCAGCATCCACTTTGACGGCTGGGACAACGAGTATGACCAGTGGGTGGACTGTGAATCCCCGGACATCTACCCTGTTGGCTGGTGTGAACTCACCGGTTACCAGCTCCAGCCACCGGTGTCCGCAGGTGGGATGGGGTTGCCCAGCTCAGGCAGCTTTTGAATATTCTCTGGGCTTTTCCCTTCCTGTCAACCACTCCTCCAAATGCCTCGCATTTTCTGGCCTGAGACAGAAGGGTCCAGGTTGCCCTGAGCAGAGTGTGTGCCCTGCCTCTCACCCTGCTCCTGAACCTATGTTCCTCCCCCGTCCCTGCAGAGTACCTTTGTTCATTTTGCCCACTCTGTCCTGTGCCTGGGCCCTTGTGCACCCAGATCCCTCAAACAACCCTGGTGACACGGGGTGGATGGGATAGCTGCTCTCCTACCCCTCTGCCATCCTGTTCTCAGTATCTGGCTTCTCTCATATGAGGGCCAGTGCCCTCATATGGAGGTGCCCGTGACCTTCCAGAACTCTCTTCTCATCCCTTGTTCTTTCAAACATTAGAACCAAACACAACTCAGAAAGGCAAAGATGCCACAAAGAAGAAGAAGAAACAGTTTGGGAAGAAAAGTAAGTAAAGCACCAAAGCACCGAGCACGGCTTCCGGCCACTGCCTATATATTGCCTCATGCTCCTTTTCTGTTTCCTGGAACTTGCCCCATGGGAACGCTGTGCCTTAGGGGATCCAGAACACAAACAGGAATGTAGTGTGTGTTCAGGAAACGGCTGATGACATTTGAGGAAAAGAGAGAAGGGGGTCACATCCTTTCCCTGCTGCTGCTTGTCCACAGCAACCTGAAAGATGCTGGGTTCTGAGGAAAAGGCAGAGAGAAAAAGGTTCCCTCCTCCTCCAACACTGACTTCTGGAACAGCTGGCCATGGGGTTACAAGAGGACAGGACAGGACAGGACAGGAGGGCAGGTGACAAAGTCATTCTCAACTGTATAGTGTGACAGGTGGTGCCACAGCATGGGCATCAGGCAGAGAAGAGGATGTTCTGCAGTGAGACAGCCATGGCAGGGACTAGGTGTAGGAGTGAGTGGCATTTGAATTGAGACTGTGCTGTTCAAAGTGGGGACCTGAACATGCCATGGTCCATTTAAGAAATCAAAGATCACCAGACAGTGGTGCACATGCCTTTAATCACAGCACTCAGGATTAGAGGAAGGTGGGTCTCTGTAAGTTTGAGGCCAGCCTGATCTACCAAGCAAGTTCCAGGACTGCCAAGGCTACACAGAAAATTACTGTCTTGAAGGAAGGAAACAAGCAAGCTAGCTAGCTAGCTAGCATCCATAACTGCTTTGACCCAGGCACTTGGCCGATAAGGGATACTGAAAATTGGAGTCCAGGTTCACCGTACCCAGCTCCACACTGCCTGCTAGCACTATTGCTAGGTTTGTTTTATTTTTATTCACAGGGAAAAGACTCTCATCAGCTAAGACTCGGCCCCTCAGACCGGGCTCCAAGAAACCCTTACTGGAGGACAACCTTGAGGCTTTGGCGGTCTCGGAACCAGTTCCTGATGACAGTAAGAGCTGGTGGACTGGTTGAGTCAGGGACAGGCTGCTCCAGTCTCTGATGTGGTCTCTTTGCTTCTCTACCTGGACACAAAAGAACAGAGTCAAGTCTGAAGGGGATTTTCCAGGCAGCAAACAGTTTTCAAACCATTGGACTGGAAAAATCTCCTAAACACCCTATCCAGCTCTGAACTGAGAAATCTCTCTCTCTCCAGCCTCCTGGCTTTCCCTTCCTCTCCTGCCTCTAAATAACCCATGCTCACTAAAGTGCGTAGTGAGATATCAGGTGCCAGATTTCTGGCTTAGTCTTACTGGCCAGGATGTGCTGGGGTCTTCACTCTTATTGCAGTATACTTGGGGGGAGGGGTCGTGTGCCACAGCACATGTAGCATCAGCAATAATTTCAGGAGTTGGTTCTCTCCCACCACAGGGACTCCCACAGGCTGTCAGCTTGGCTGCAAATGCTATTAGCTCACCAGCTGTACCTGGGAGGGTGAGGAGGAAGTTGTAAGTGGTCACCCAGGCTCCCTGCTACCTACCTCTAGAGCTCTCTCTGAAGGAAGCTAACTTCCTTAGCAGCCTCTCATCCCACCCCGAGACCGGCACACATTCACACACTCATTCTTAGCTCTCTGCCTCCCTCCCTCCCTCCCTCTTCACAGTTATCGCTGTGTGCGTGAAGGAGGAGCACCAGGACATCTCTTCGCCTGACAGGTCACCCAGTCCACAGCTGCCTCTCCCCATTGAGAGCATCAAGCAGGAGAGAGACAACTGAGCCTTCCCTGGCATCAGCCTGGACCCTGACTGAAGCCAAGCCTGGTCATGGAGCAGAGAGGAGGCCCAGCTTTACTGCTCTGCAGTGAATGGACAGCCTAGCCTTCCAGGCCCACCTCTGCCCTCTGGCCAGGCCTATTGGCTGCTCAGCTTGAGCCCTAAGCCGGCACACCATTGCACCATTGCACCATTGCACCCTCAGCACACTGGAGAATAGACTGACTACCATGTGTCTACCCAGGCACGTGCTGGAAGTGAGGGAATGGAGCAGCTGTGGGTGGGCAGCCCAGGCTGATGCTGGGTGAGAACGGAGCCACCTCTGCCCAAAATAAATTGAGGGTCTTGAACCTTCTGGGGGTACCCTGTACCACCTGATGTCCCAGGGGCCCCACTGTGGAAGGGAATTGACCAAGGTAGTGGGTTTGAGTGATTTGGATTGGGACCTTGACCTCTCAGGGATGGCAAGAACACTGACTTCTTTTCTTAGAGGGAACAGTTGGGAAGATGTACAAGGGACCTGTGCCCCTAAGGGAGACGCGGGCCAGGCTACTTGCTGTCAGGTACAGGATCAGACAGTAGTTTGGCCCATGCAGTCTGGGGGTCCTGCCTGAGACCATCCTTCTCTAGATCTGAGCTTGGGTTGGACCAATCCTTTCCACTCCCCTGCCTGGGTCAGCCCAGCCGCTGCTCAGCTCACTGTCTTCACAGTGTTTGACTTTTGTTTTTCCCACTGAGATACATTGTTTTATTTTTGAGACAGGCTCTATGTAGTACTTGCTGTTCTGGAGCTTGATATATAGCCCATGCAGACTTTATACTGATAGGGATCCACCTGCCTCTGCCTTCTGAGTGCTGGGATTAAAGCTGTGTGCCTAGTCCCCAGCTAGACACTTTGAAACTGGTGGCCTAGCCCTCCAGTATCATCCTGGAGGCAGTGGGGCCTCCTGCAGTGTACTGGGTTTGACTGGGTTATGGACAGAGCAGTGAGGCCAGTGGCTCTGTGATGCCGTGGCCGTGCTGCATGGCCATATCTGGGTCTACTCTGGTCAAGTCTCGTCCGTCATGTGCTAGACTTTGCTCAGGACCAGGCCTGGTTCATCCCTAAGGGGAGATGTGAGTGACCAGTCATCACAGACCGGGCAGGTTCTGAGAAAAGTTGGTCTTGACCTATCTGCTAAAGATAGCCCACTCTGTGCAGAATCTAGGCCATGAAAGAGGCCTTTGTCTGCCTGCTTTCCTCAAAGGGAAGATGAAAGTCCACAGTAAAAGGCAGGTTCAATTCCCAGCACCCACTCACAGCTGCCTGTATCTTGAGCTCCAGGGGAGCCTGTGCCTGTGGTTTCTGTGGATATCCTTAAACATAATTAAAAATAAAATCTGTGAAGAAAACAGTGAGATGCTATCGAATGAGTGTACCTTGGCCCCTAGGAGCAGATATTAGGAGGAAGATGGCCAAGTGTGCCTTTAGATAGATGTCTTGAGCATGAGATCCTCTGACAAGAGAGGGTGGAATGTTTGCCCTTCATTCCAGGCCTGGCCTCCCGATTCCCCGTCCTTTCACTGATGAGCAAAGGGAGGCCATGGGGTGCATGTGGTAAAACCTCAGAGCTGGGACTGACTAGGGCTTAGGCTGCTTGACTCCAGATTCTTTTTGTTCTATTAGAACAACAGAAACAGGCTCTCATAGAGCCCAAGCCAACCTCAGCTTCTGGTCTCCCACTTCCTGAATGCTGGGGCTGCAGATGTGTGCTACCACACCTCTATGAGACAAGTCCCTTGTGAAAGTCAAACCTGCAGAGTATATTCTGACATGCCACTTGAGCGTCAAGTATGAAGACAGTTACCACACAAAGGGAAAAACAAAGACCACCCTCTGTCTCCATAACAACCATAGCTGTATTGTCATTGGTGGTTCTTGGAGCTCACCTGTCCCTAGTTCCCCCCCCACCCCCGGCACAAAGCTGGAGTAGTAGGGTTAGTGAAATTAAGAAAGGGACATAACTGATGTTGCTGATGTTAAAGGGTCAGGTTTGTGGTCTCACTAGGTAGCTCAGGCTGGCTTTGAACTCGCCTTGCCTCAGTTACAAAAGTTGTAGGACAAGGCCTCATGCTGTGAGTTCTGTGAATCAAGCCTGGATCCTCTAGAAGCCAGTACTCAGCTTGTCCTTGGATGGGAAGTAAAGTTCTTGGGGTCTTAGCACTTGAGTTGCTGCTAGCATCATTCTAAAATACCTTCCACACACCCCACTTCCTCCACTGGGAGCTTGCAGTATATCTCTCTGCTTCTCAACCATCTGCAGACCCAGTCTCAACAAACCTTCCATGCTAGAAGCTGGGCTACACATTGAGATGATAATTTTTTTTTTTTTTTTAGATTTATTTATATGAGTACTCTTGCTGTCTTCAGACACACCAGAAGAGGGCATCAGATCCCATTACAGACAGTTGTGAGCCTCCATGTGGTTGCTGGAAATTGAACTCAGGGCCTTTGGAAGAGTGGTCAGTGCTCTTAACCTCTGAGCCATCTCTCCAGCCGGCTAATTCATTTCGGATCTCGGCTTCATTCACAAATGTGAAAAAGGAGGCTGAGGATATAAATTGGTTGCTTAAATGCACAGGATAAGTGACAGCAATGCGGTTGAGCCTGGGTTGATCTGCAAAGTCACCACCATTGCTGGGACACTCCTTTCATGGACCATACCAGGCTTGATGGGCTTCATCCAGAGTGCAGGAGCACAGCAGGTGTGGCCTGGCCGTCCTCCAGGCACTGGTGCTAGGAAACATTCCTGAAGTGCCATCCTCTGTCAGCCCCACGGGCATGTGGATAAGGGCCTGGACTCGTGACTGTGAGCTCTGAAGAGCCCGGCTCCAGCCAGCACGCACTTGGAAGGGGTATGGAGGGTGTGGGATGGCAGGACGGTTTAGTGGGTCAGCTAAAGTAGGCACTTGGCACAAAGCTGAGGGCCTGAGCTTGATCCCTGGCACCCTCATAGGAGATGGAGAAAATGGCTCCCTTGGGCTGTCCTCAGACCTTCTCACACACCCCATGACACATGCACCTGCACACATACATACAAATGTAAAAAGTATATGTAATTATGAAGAGTGAGGGGGCTAGGGAGATGGCACAGTGATTAAGAGCACTTGCTGCTCTTCCAAAGGATCCGGGTTCAAATCCCAGCATCTACATGGTAGTTCATAGCTGTCTGTAATTCCAGTTCCAGGGGATTTGAAACCATCACAGACATAAATGGAGGCAGAACACCAAAGTTAATAAAATTTTAAAAAGAGGGAGGTGGTGGCATCAAGAAGAGAGAGGGGACCTCTTAGGTGGTTTATGGAGATATTCTCATATAGCCCAGGGTGACCTTGAATTTATCCTGCCTCCCAAGTACAAGGGTTACAATGGTTTCTCACCATCTGTTTCATTCATTTCTAGTGCTGGCACTGGGTTCTCCGCTGTAACTATTGACTAGAGCAAGTCTGGAGGAGGGTGATACCACTGAGTATCAATTATATAATTCAAGAAGGCTTTCTCTGTGCAGCCTTGGCTGTCCTGGAACTCACTCTGTAGACCAGACTGGCCTTGAACTCAGAGATCTCTGCCTGCCTCTGCTACGAGGGCTAGGATTAAAGGCATTCGCCACTGCCACCTGGGCCAAAGGAGGATTTGTATCCTGTAGCTTGAGATCCTGCTTCTCCTTTGTGCATGCACATGCATGAATCCATGTGTGTGAACATGCATGTGTGGGCATCAAAGAATAACCACGGGTGCCAGTTCCTGCCTTCTACCTTAAAAATGTCTCTGCCTGCCTTCACCACCACCTCACCTGTCTCACACAGCCCTGCCTCTCCTGTGAATGCTGGCAGAAGCCAAAGCTGTTGGCAGTGCCCTTGAGCTGGGATGACAAGCATTTGTGAGCCACCCCTACACGGGAGATGGGCATCAAACTTGTGTTCTCAGTAACAGTACTTGCACTGAGAACATCCCAGCCCTGGGGTGTCTGTTTGCTGTGAGCCCAGGCTGGCTGGCACATGAGCTTCTGGGAATCTCCTGTCTCAGCCTCCCATCTCCCTGTGGGAGCACTGGGATTATAGATGCTCCTGCTGTGTGCCTGGCTCTGATGGGGGCTCAGGCCCTCATGCTGTGTGGCAAGTGTTGTACCCCAGATCCATGGTGAGGAATTCCTTCCCTACTCTACCCTGCCTCTACAGGAACAGTTGGTGGCCGAAATTGTGTTTCCCTAGATGATTGAACTCCCAGTAACTCAGAATCTGACCTCTTAGAATTGGGGTCTTACATTAAATTGAAATGATAAATTAAAAGGTCATTATAGGCTGAGCTGCCATCCTTATGAAAAGGGAGAGAAGTGTACAGACTGACACACGGATGGAAGCCAGCATGAAGAGATGGAGAGTACCACACTGAAGGAGAAAGGGAGAGAAGTATACAGACTGACACACGGATGGAAGCCAGCATGAAGAGATGGAGAGTACCACACTGAAGGAGGCAGGCTAGAAAATGGTACAGGCCACCACGGGCCAGAAGCCGCAAGATGGAATCCTTTCATTCCAGGCTCCAATCGAAAATCAGCGCTTTGATTTCCAACCTCACACAGTCATTGCTGCTGTACCCAGTTCATGGTCCAGTCTCATGGCAACCTCGGGGAACTAATACAAACACTAGTCGGTTGCCTCAAGTCTTCAAACCCAGGGTTGGGGGAGGGGCCCAGCCTCCTCCCCACCTTCCCAGCACCTTTCTCTTCCCTCATCTTCTCTATGATCTGGTCTTCTCCCTTTGGACTCCACACTTGGTCTTAGGTGTCTGCATCCTGGCCTCCTGCATCCGGGGCTCAACCAGCAGCAGCCTGCTCAGCCTTCATAAATACATCAAGGCACATTGCTACAACTGAGTTGAAGCTGGATCAGGACCTGAATATCACATCAAGTGACATCTCAACCTGTGACTGACAGGTGGTTGGGAGGCAGAGCCAATACACCTGAACTTCCACTCTCCTCCCTGAGAAGAGCCAGGTCTATGAGGTCAGGATGGGAAAGGGTGGGGTCCACACAGATGCAGTAAAAACAGAAATAGGGTGTAAGTTGTGGCGTCCACATAGTTGCCTCCTTAAGGGGTGAGGGGAAGGGACACGACTGCACCATGCAAGGTGGCCATGGGTCATTGCCTATCTCAGGAAAAAGTCAGGGCTCAGCTTCCCAGCAGCTTTGGGACCCAGACCTCCTGCCCAAGGGCTCACCTTATCTGTTCCTCAGTGTCGTCTGTGGGTGGGAGTTCTCCTGGCACTGACCCTGGAGGTTGGCGTCCTCTTGGCCTTCCTGGCAGTCCAGCCTGGGCAGGCTTCAAAGATTGTAGCTGCAACCTTCACCTTCTGGCCACGGACACTGGGAGGGGTGGCACAGGTGGCACCCACCCGCAGGTTCAACCCAGTGAGCCACCTGAGGAGAGAGAGAGATGGGGAGCCCAGTATGGATGAAAATGGGTGAGAGAGTTCCTGGGGAGGATGAGTAGGGACCAAGAACTTGGAGCAGTGGACAAGAGGAAGTCTACTGAGCTCTGGCTGGGCAGCTCACCTCCATGTCACTTTACACCTCTGATCCCTTCTGCATAAGAAGGAGATGAGAACGGGGCAGTGTTCATTGTGTACCAGGCACTGTGTCATCTGTTTATGTCTGCTGACACTGATTCTCCAGCAGCCACGTCAGTGTGGGCTGGATTGCTCCTCATCCCTTCCACAGATGACCAAAGGGAGGCTGTGGGACTCACGTGGTAAGACCTCAGAGCCTGACTAGAGCTTGGGCTTGCTTGACCACAGATTCTCGTTCTATTAGAACAACAAAAACAGGGTCTCAGCCAGGCGGTGGTGGCGCACGCCTTTAATCCCAGCACTTGGGAGGCAGAGACAGGCGGATTTCTGAGTTCGAGGCCAGCCTGGTCTACAGAGTGAGTGCCAGAACAGCCAGGACTACACAGAGAAACCCTGTCTCAAAAAAACAAAAACAAAACAAAACAAAACAAAACAAAAAAAAAAAAACAGGGTCTCATGTAGCTCAGACCAACCTCAACTTCTGAGCTTCTAATCTTTACCTCCCGAGTGCTGTGTTACAGATGTGCGCCACCACAGCTGTATTTATGAAGCACTTGAAACTGAATCCAGAGCTTCGTGCATACAAGGCAAGCACTCTGAGCCTCGTCCCCAGCCTTTGCTTTTGTGTGTGTGGGGTGGTTTTTTTTGTTTTGTTTTTTTTTGTTTGTTTGTTTGGTTGGTTGGTTGGTTGGTTTTTTCGAGACAGGGTTTCTCTGTATAGTCCTGGCTGTCCTGGAACTCACTCTGTAGACCAGGCTGGCCTCGAACTCTCGAACTCAGAAATCCGCCTGCCTCTGCCTCCCAAGTGCTGGGATTAAAGGTGTGCGCCACCACCACCCGGTTGCTTTTGTGTTTTGAGGCAGGGTCTCATATCGTCCAGGCTGACTCCATACTCCTGAGTCCTACTTCTACTTCCCAAGTGCTGGGATTATGGGGCATGGTGGCCATGCCCAGCTTCTCACTGGCATTTTTATGTAACTGCCAAATGTGCATGTGTGTCTCTCAGGTCCCAGCACTCCAAGCAAGGACAGTGTCATCCTGATTTATGAAGGAATTAAACCTTAGTTTTGTGGTACCTGTGCCAGGCATGTCTATGGGACGTTATCTTGATTAATAATGGACGTGGGAGGGTCCAGCTCATTGTAGGCAGTGCTGACCTAGGGAGATGGTCCTGGGTTGTATAGAAAAGCAAGGAGAGCACACCGGTAAGCAGTGTTCCTCCCTCATCTCCACGACGGGGCAGTTCCTGCTTGGAGCCCCTATCCTGGCTTTCCTTGCTGAACTATATATAACCTGTAAGCTAAACATCCTAAGACTAGTGGTGCAGAGCCACAGTCCCCCCTGGGGAGATAGCTGGACTTGACTGGCAGCAGCTGGTCCAGCTCTGGTGGGAGTCCTGACATGGGTGTACCTGTGCAGCGGGAGCAGCTGGCAGTCACAGTGGAAAGGATTACCGCTCAGGTCGATGAGCTCCAGCCCGCTGAGCCACATCGGGGCGGGCAGGGACTGAAGTTGGTTCTTCTGCAGGTACAAGCTCCGCAGCCCTTTTCCGAGGCCTGAGAAGGCCCTGGGAGAAATCTGCAAGGAAGTGCCGAGTCCTGTTGTGAGCCCCTGCCAGGTGGGCAGTGCCAGATCAGCGGGGAGCTTCATCCTCCCTCCAGTAGAGAGATGGAAAGCCCAAGGTGGTCTACACTGGAGGGGTACTGAGGTTAGAACCCAGGTTGGTCTTATTCCAAGTCACTCAATGCCCAGGTTCTTTCAGTTAGGCCTGAATCCCATCCTTATAATGGCCAAGACTCTTAGGGACTCTCAACAGCAGGTAACTAACTGCTCAGACTCAAGTTCTTCCAGGCCTCTAGCTGCACCTGAACTCCTTAAGGGCTGAGGGGAACGTCTGGTTTCTTAGTGTTCTCATGCCCTGCCTAAAATGCTTGCCGAAGGAATGCCTCCTATGGATGTGTGCTTCCTGCCTGCACATCAGGCAGCACCCACCTGCTCCAGGTCACTGCTGTTCAGGAAGAGCTGCTGCAGCGACCGCCCCACAGGCTGAAAGGCCCCATCTTGCAGAGCCCTGAATGGGTTCCCCGAGAGCTGCAGCTCCTTGAGTGCAGGCAGCCCCTCCAAGGCTCCAGTAGGCACCTCTCGCAGCTGGTTCCTGTCAAGGTGCAGCTTCTCCAGCTCCCGGGCTGGACCTAGCGCCCCAGGTGAAACCTGGGTGATGTGATTTCCACCCAGGTAAAGGCAGCGCAAAGCCCGCGCTCCTGCCAGATCCCCGGGCGCCAGGCGGTCCACCGCGTTGTCCTGAAGGTGTAGGGAGAAGAGGCTGGGTAGGGCACGCAGAGCCGCCCCTGGGATCCTCAGGAAGCGGTTGTGCTCCAGGTACAGGTAGCCCAGGTGGGGGGCCCCTTCGAGGGCTGCAGCGCTCAGGCCCGAGAGCTGGTTGTCGGAGAGGTAGAGATAGACCAGGCGGTCCAGGCCCGCCAAGGCGCCCGGCTCCAGCTCCGCGATGCCGCAGTGCTGCAGGTGCAACGACACCAGGTGGCGCAGGCCCGGGAAGGCCGCGCGGGGCACCGAGGGGAAGTGGTTGCGCCTCAGGTCCAGGAGCTGGGAGTCGTTGGGGAAGCCGCGGGGCACGGCCTGGAGGCCCCGGCCGTCGCAAGCGCTGTGCCGAGTCTCCGCGACGCACACGCAGGCGGGAGGGCAGGGCGTGGCCCACGCGGCCTCTTCGTGCGGGGAGCGAGGAGGGGCGCGAGGACCGGCCTGCCGGTCTTCGTCCTCGTCCTCCGCCGCGTCTCCCGGGCAGCGCAGGTCTGAAGGCCGCAGCGTATCCAGGGCCTCGCCTCGCAGTCGCCGCGGTCCCCGGCACGCGCCGTCGGAGCGCACTCGAGCGCGCACCAGCCACTCGAGCAGGGGCCGCGCATGGCAGGCGCACCACAGTGGGTTGCCCTGCAGCCGCAGCCGGCGCAGCTGACCCGGGACCTGCAGCGGGGGCAGAGTGGTGAGCTGGTTCCCGCGGAGGTCGAGGGTGTGCAGGCGCGGGCAGTGGGCGAAGGCCCGGGGGCCTAGGGCCTGCAGGGACCCGTGGTCCAGGGCGAGCTCCCGCAGGCCGGGCAGCGCCAGGCCATCCTCCTCTCCCGTGTAGGTGAGCGGGTTGTGGCCTAGCTCCAGACGCGCCAGGCTGCGGGCCTGGGACAGGGCGGCCCCGGGCAGAGCCTGCAGCTCATTGTGGTGCAGGCTGAGGCGGCGCAGCGCCGGCAGGCCGGCCAGAGCCTCGGGGGCCAGCACGCTGAGTGCGTTGTGAGACAGTTGCAGCCAGCGAGTGCGCATCAGCCCCTGGAAAGCCATGGCGGGCAGGTAGACCAAGGCATTGTGGGCCAAATTGAGAGTGGCCAACGAGCCCAGGGCGCCGAAGGTCCCGGGCCGCAGCTCCTCCAACATGTTCCCCTCCAGCTCCAAGCGCCTCAGTGAGCCCAGTCCGTCCAGTGCCTCCTGGGGCAGTGTGCTCAGGCGGTTGGAAGCCAGGTTGAGAAGGAGCAGGCGGCCCAGGCCACGGAATGCCCCCTCGGCCACCAGCTCCACCTGACAGTGCTGCAGATCCAGATGTGTGAGGTAAGGCAGGGCCTGGAAGGCAGCTGCAGGGATGACCTTCAGCATATTGCCCTGGAGGTCCAGCCTCTGGGTGAGCTGGGGACAGGAGCAGGAAAGGAGAATGGGCCTCTCTCCCTCACCTCTCTGATTCTCTTTAGCCACTGAGCAGCCTTCACTGTGAGCTTTTCCTTTGCTGCTCTTGGCTTACTTTCCCATTAATTCATAACACCACAGGGCAAAAAGAACATCTTATCCAGACACACCCCAAGTTCACCCCAGGACCTGTCACAAATACATTATTATTTATTGGTCACATAGGTATCTCAGCCGCACAAGGATCTTAAATAAATCATACTGTTATTGTCTTGTTTAGTTTTGTTGTTGTTGCTATTGGTTGTTTTAAACATGGTTCTAGCTGTCCTGGAACTCACTCTGTAGATCAGGCTGGTCTTAAACTCAAAGAGATCTGCCTGCCTCTGCCTCCTGAGTCCTGGTGTTAAAGGTGTGTATCATTGGATTTGGCCCGTATTGGTTATTTTTCTTCCCATTTAGACGTAGATACCCAGGCTCAAGAAGCAGGAACCAGCAAGACAATGGTACAACCATTGGTGTAGCCCCGGCTCCTGCCACCCTGCCCTTCTTCCCACACTGCCAACCCATGTAAGGATTTTCCCTCTCCTGACCTCAGGGATGGCGTTTGGCACTTCGGTGAGGTTCTGGTGCCGGCAGGTAACATGGCGTCTGGAGTTGTCACAGACACAGGTCTGTGGGCATCGCTGGGCAGATACGTGCCAAGCTGGACTCAGGATCAACACCATAAGCAGCAGCAGCATGAAGACCCAGGTGGAGCTCTGAAGCCTGGGAGATGGGGGAGAGCTGCTGTCCATGGGGCCATCAATGCTAGTGGGCACTGAACCCCCGATACAGGACAGAACTCCTCCAGGCCTTCATGCTCTGGGCACAGGAAAGTGCCATGCTTTGGCTCTACCCTCAGCTCATATGGGGCCGTGGGGAGGGGGCTTCTGTTATCAGCCCTGGTTTATGGGGGAGAGGACTAAGATGCAGACAGTTTAGAGCTCCGACTCTGCCCGGTGACTCTGGATTTAAGACACTTTGGCAGCAGGAGGGAAGGCCCAGACCTAGCCCAGGCTTTAGGGTGGACTGGGAGGTCCAGATGTTGAAGGGCCTGAGAAACGCTGTCATGGTAAGCAGGCAGCTCAGGCCTCTGTGCCTGCTCCCCTCTGTCCTCTTGTTACCTGAGTCCACACGGCTGATTGACCTTCGACAGAGGAACTGAGAGCCCAGGTTATGTACTACAGTGGGGCAAGCTAGATCTCACTTGTCTATTTATTGATGCACCCACCCACCCGTCCATCCATCCACCTCACACAACACTGCCCATCTCTTCTTAGGGGTGATCATTGCCTCCACAGCTCTCCTGGCCTCCCCTGTGCTCCACCTAACAGCCAAAGGGAATTTTCCAGAATATAGATAGGATCCTGATACCCCTAACAGACCCCCCCCCCCCCAGTGTCTAGCTGTCCCCGTTAGTCCCAATTCCTGGTACCTCAAGAAGAATGTATAGTTTCTCCATCACATGCCTCGAGTGGTACCACTGTACAGGCCCAGCAGCAGCAAATTCACTTGGCTCCTCCTGCTCTATGCTTGGGTCACAGGTAAATTCTGAGCTGCCCTCCCTGATGTGGAACTGGAACACCACCTCATGAACCTCCCCATAGTTGCTCCCAGGATTGTAACTGTCTGGCTTTGTCTCCTTTTAGTCCCAGAATTCACCCCTTTCTCAGTGCTGGTGGCCTTCTCTAGACTCTGGCTTGAGGGTCAGGGTAGGAAGGGGCGCCTATTAGGCTGATACCTGAAGAGAAAAAGGTTCAGGGCATAGAGGGCTCACTTGGATCCCCTCATAAGGCTCCAAAAGACTACCTCACAGAAGTGCACAGGAACCTCTGGAGCTGGTTTAGGGGCCACCTCTGGGGAACCTCAGGTACAGGAAGATCCCGTGGTTCTGCAGTTGGCCTCTCAGAGCACGAACAGATAAGTGATCATCTAACCGTCTAGTTCATTGATGGCTCCCTTGTGTCCCCAGAGCCCCAAAACTCACCTCTCCATGCCGACTGGAACGGCCAGCCCTGTCTGGAGGCCCCGCAGAAGGGAAAGACCAGGGACAGTCCTCGCCTGGTCACCAGCAGTACTCCCCCCCTTTGCCCATGGGCTTGGCAGCCAGGACAGAGCTGAATGGGAAGCATTGTAAGCAGCCCAGCAGAGCCTGGGGCTTCCCCAGGCTGTGGGCAGGGGGTGGAAGCGGCTGGAGTTACAGACTGCCTATGCAGCACAGCCTTAACAACATGGCCCAGGCCGAGTCCTTGGACTGGAGGGTGAGCATGGGTGGCGATGTAGATGGGGGGTGTCTGGAGGAGCCTTCGGGTAGGTCAGCATCACTGGGCTCCTGCAGACTCTGTGGGACCCTAGGAACTATTTAGCAACTGAAGGGTAAAAATTAGCTCACTAGGTTGCTGCAGGAGTTAAGGTAGGAACCTGGAACTCTTAACTCCTTCCTTTCTGGGAGCTTATGTACTCGCACACACTGAAGCTACTGCACACATGTATCTTGCAACTATTTTCCATCTCACTTTAACATATTATTGAGGGTATCCAAATTGATGCCTAGAGTCATACCCACTTTCTAATGGATTCTATGGTGTTTCATTCTATAAACAAATCTAAGGCATAAACCAGGTGGTGGTGTACACCTCAGGAGACTGAGCCAGAAGGATTAAAAAAAGTACCAGACTTATTGACTTACCGGTTTACCTGAGATATTTTAAATTTTTTAGGTTTTTTGTTTGTTTACTTTATATGTGACTGGCCTACTTACCTACAGGGCATTGTAGCATGACTGGTACTCATAGAGGCCAGAAGAGGGCACCAGAGCCTCCAAAGTAGATAGAAGCACAGATATTATTCCTCAACCTCCATGTGGGGGATTTGAACCCAGGTCCTCTACAAGAGCAGCCAGTGACTAATGAATAATGAGCCACATGTCTAGTCCTGTCTTAGATATATTTTTTTTTTTTTGGTTTTTCAAGACAGGGTTTCTCTGTGTAGCCCTGGCTGTCCTGGAACTCACTCTGTAGACCAGGCTGGCCTCGAACTCAGAAATCCGCCTGCCTCTGCCTACAGAGTGCTGGGATTAAAGGCATGTGCCACCACCGCACCGCCCGGTTTGTTTTAATATTTTTTATACAGTGTTTCTCTGTGTAGCCCTGGATGTCCTGGAACTCTGTAGACCAGACTGTCCTCAAACTCGGAGATCTGCCTAAGTCTGCCTCCCAAGTGACTTGCGGGATTAAAGCGAACCACTGTCCAGCTCAGTTGTTTTTGTTTGTTCTTCCAAGACAGGGTTTCTCTGTGTAGCCCTGGCTGGCCTCCAATTCAGACATCCTCCCACCTTTACCTACCGAGAGCTGGGATTAAAGGTATGCACCACCACTGTCCAGCTTCAGAGTTGTATTTTTAATTTTTTCCCTTATGTTTATGGGTGTTTTGTCTGCATGTACATCTGTACTACGTGCTTGCAATGAACACAGAGGCCAGAAGAGGGTGATGGATCCTCTAGAACTGGACTCTCAGATGGTTGTGGACAACTTACAAGTGTTGGCAATCAAACTCAAGTCATCCAGAACAGCCCAGTTGTAGTTTTAAAATTACATCTATTTGCACATGCAAATGCAACAGCGAGTGTGAAGGTCAAAGGACAACTTGCAGGAGTCGGTTTCCTCCTCCACATGAACTCTAGGATCTAACTCAGGTTTTTAGGCTTGGTAGAAAGTACTTCCATCCACTGAGCCCTCTCACTGGCTCTGCTTGGTTGTATTTTAAGAATGTCTCACATAGCCCAGGACAGTCTTAAATAGCCCAGGATAGTCTTAAATACACTGTAACTAGGGATGACCCAGAACACAAGATCTTCTTCCTTTTACTTACAACTACTGGGATAAAAGGTATATGCCTATCTCAAGGTGAGGGGTGAGGATGTAAAAAACCAAATCCTTTTTTTTTTTTTTTGGTTTCTCGAGACAGGGTTTCTCTGTGTACCTCTGGCTGTCCTGGAACTCACTCTGTAGACCAGGCTGGCCTCGAACTCTCGAACTCAGAAATCCGCCTGCCTCTGCCTCCCAAGTGCTGGGATTAAAGGCCTGGGCCACCACTGCCCGGCAAATCAAACTTTTCTTATTGCTACAAAATATCCAATGTGAGGATGACTATACCACAGGAACAGTACACATAAATGAGCTTGGTTTACTCATTTCCTTCCACCTAGGTTTTATATACAACAGAAGTTCCATTGTTTTTATGGCAGATTACTTCCTTGTAAGGGCATGCTTTAAAACGTTCAACTTATTCCTCTGGTGGATGAGACACTGGCTTGCTTCCACCACTTGATTCTACACTGAGAATAGTTCTAAAAAACTAGTGCACAGTGTTCATTTGTGTTGTTTTCATTTCTATGGGGTATAAGCTAGTAGGCTGTTGATGAAGGGCAACCCTACCATTCATCACAAGAGCTTAAAGATGTGTGCTCTCTGGTCTAAACAGTGAGTGCCATTCCATTCTTCTTTCTTCTCAGATGGAATCTCTATCACACAAGCAGGCTTGACATTTCAGGGCTCTAGCCAGGCAGTGGTGGCACACATCTTTACACAGTATGCAGGAGGCAGAGGCAAAGGCAGGAGGATCTCCGAGATCAAGGCCAGCCTAGTCTACAGAGTGAGTTCCAGGACAGCCAGAGCTACACAGAGAAACCCTATTTCAAACAAAATTGTGTGCGTGGGTATATACATGAGTGTAGGTACCCAAGGAGTTCAGAAGAGGCCATTGGATTCTCCGGAGCTAGAGTCACAGGTAGTTGTGAGCTGCTTGACGTGAGTGCTAGGAACAGAACAGTGTACACTTTTAGTTTTTGAGAAAGGGTTTCTTCTTTGTGTAGCCCTGGCTGTCCTGGATTCACTCTGTAGACCAGGCTGGCCTTGAACTCCCAGAGATCTGCCTCCCAAAGTGTGAGGATTAAAGGTATTTACCACTTGTTTTTTTTGTTTTGTTTTGTTTTGTTTTGTTTTGGAGACAGGGTTTCTCTGTGTAGCCCTGGCTGTCCTGGAACTCACTCTGTAGACCAGGCTAGCTTCAAACTCTCGGACTCAGAAATCCGCCTGCCTCTGCCTCCCAAGTGCTGGGATTAAAGGCGTGTAAAGTTTACCTTTTTTTCCCCCTAGATGAAATCTGACTCTGAACGCTGCATCCTGGGCTGTTCTAAAACTCAGGCGGCAATCTTCCTGCCTGGCTTCCCAACCATGAGGATCACCACACCCAGCCATTCAGTTTTTCTCCACTAGGCTGTGAGCTGTGGGCCTTCTATGGCTTTTACAACAATGAGGTAATTTTATTCTTTTCCTAGCTTGAGTATATGTGGACTGTGTGCATTCACGAACCCATGGAGGTCAGAAGAGTGTGTTGAACTCCCTGAAAGTGGATGTAAAGGCTATTGAGAGTCCCTAGGTGGGTTCTGAACCTACACTCTCTGTAAGAGCAGCATACATTCTTAGCTTCTGAGCCATTGCTTTAGCCCCAAATCATGTTTTTGTTTGTTTTCATTGTTTTTTAGGTTTTGAGCTGTAGGAGGCACAGATGTTTCATAGGTCAGCATTAGGAGAACCTAGAATATTAAATACTCTTGGGTTGTTCCTTCAAAGGAAGGGGATGCATAACCTTTTGTCCACCCAGAAAGCTGGTTACTAGTCTGATGACCTTTACACTTATCTGTGGCCAAGACCATGTAGGACCCTCCACTGGACCCCATGAGCTTGTTCTGTCTCTAGAACCAATCCTTTGAAGGTGTCGCATGTACTTTACAAAGTGTTTCCATACGGTCTGATCTTTATTTAGATTACTTTGTTCCTCGAGGTTTGTGTATGTTTTATTGTACATATGAGTGCTACAGGAAAGTTTTCACCACATTATGTTGTCATTATGTATGCCTAAAACAAATTACCAAGGGGCAGACTCTGAAGAAGTTTGACTCAACAGCGGCTACTTAGTTGTGTTGAAGCAAACTGCCTTCTGGCTTCCTGTAGATTGTTACTCTGAAGACCCCACACTGAATGGGCCACAAGGGTGGTGGGAACTGAACTTGGGTCCTCTGCAAGGATAATCAGTGTTGCTGTTAACCATTTAGTTGTTTTTCCAGCCCAAATTGCATTTGTTTTTTTACCCTCTTTTTTTTTTTTTTACAGTTTTCAAGACCTAGTTTCTCTGTGTAGTCCTGGCTGTCCTAACTCACTCTGTAGACCAGGCTGGCCTTGAACTCAGATATCCACCTGCCTCTGCCTCCCAAGTGCTGAGATTAAAGGTGTGCACCACCACTGCCTGGCCTCCTATATTCCTTTTTTTTTTTTTTTTGGTTTTGGTTTTTCGAGACAGGGTTTCTCTGTGTAGCACTAGCTGTCCTGGAACTCACTCTGTAGACCAGGCTGGCCTCGAACTCAGAAATCCATCTGCCTCTGCCTCCCAAGTGCTGGGATTAAAGGCGTGCGCCACCACCGCCTGGAATATATATATATATTTTAAGATTTATTTATTGTATGTGAGTACATTGTAGTTCTCTCCAGACACACCAGAAGAGGGCACCAGATCTCATTACAGATGATTGTGAGCCACCATGTGGTTGCTGGGAATTGAACTCAGGACCTCTGAAAGAACAGTCAAGTGCTCTTAACCCCTGAGCCATCTCTCCAGCCCCCTCCTATATTCTTAATATGCAGCCTATTACCTTTTTATTCGAAAGTAGGTGTGCCTGTGTACTATATATCCATGAATGGAATGCCAGTTCCCTCAGAGGCCAGGTATTGGATCTTCTGGAGCTACTATGCATGGCTGCTGGGAACTGAACTCCAGTCCTCTGCAAGAGCAGCATACACACTTAACCACTGAGTCACCTTTCAGCCCTTTTGTTTTTGAGTTTTAAAAGTAGCCCTGGCTAGCCTGGAGATAAACTAGGTAAGCCAGGCTGGCCTTGAACTTAGGTAATCTTCCTGCCTTCTATGTGTGCTTGAGGCACTATGTAGCTTGGTACCAGTTTTTCTTCTTTAAATTTATGTGTTTTTTTTTTTTAATTTTATTTTTGTTTTTCGAGACAGGGTCTCTCTGTATAGCACTGGCTGTCCTGGAACTCACTTTGTAGACCAGGCTGGTCTCAAACTCAGAAATCTGCCTGCCTCTGCCTGGCTAGATTTATGTACTTTTTATTAAGTGTATGAATGTTTTTTTGTGTGTGCATGTGTGCCTGTACAACATGTGTGTGCCTGGTCCCTGCAAAGGTCAGAGGGATTCAGTGCCCTAGGACTAGAGTTATGAACTGCCATGTGGATGCCCAGAAATGGACCAAATCCTTTGCAAGAACAGTAAATGGTAACCACTGAGCCAACACTCCATCCCGGGCTTCAGGTCTCCATTTTTCTGCTTCAGCTTCAAAGCATTAAAGTATTAGAATACTTTGAACTATCCTGCATCTCAGTGAAAAACCTTACTTTGGTCATACTGTATGATCCTTTCAGCTTTTATTTTTGAGTTTTTTGAGATAGGATCGTGTGTAGCCCAGGCTTGCCTTGAACTCAATATGCAACTGAGAGAAGTCTTTTTTTTTTTTTTTTTGGTTTTTGGAGACAACACTTCTCTGTGTAGTCCTGGCTGTCCTGGAACTCACTCTGTAGACCAGGCTGGCCTTGAGAGAACTCTTTAAATTCTGATCCTTATGCCTCTGCTAAAATATTGAAACTATAAGCATGTGGCAACATGGCAGTTTATGCCCAGGCTTCATACATGTTAGGCAGACACTCTAACTGAATGAGATTTTTGCTCCCTTCCAGGCTTGTTTTTCTCCTAGACAGGGTTTTCCTATGTAGGTCTTGCTGTCCTGAAACAACTTGCTCTTTAGACCAGGCTGGCCCAAACTGCCTGCCCCTGCATCACCAGCGCCTGGCTCATCTTCTAATTTCAAATGTTTATTGGGTGTGTACAGGGGTGTGCACAGCCAGTCTACTTGTGGAGATCAGAACACAATGTACAGAAGTGCTCTTCTCCCACTACACGGGCCTCGGGACTGAAGTCTGGTTGCTGGGCCTAGAGATAAAGGTCCTTATCTGCAGTCATCCTCCCAGCCCCTTATTGTATGTGTGTATAAACTGCTAATGTATTTTTCATACTTTATTGGTGGGTACAAAGGCATCACGGTGTACGTAGAGGCCAGAAGACAACTTTGGGGACTTGGTTTTCTTTCTATCATGAGTCCTCAAGATTAAATTCAGGATATCAGGTTCAGGCAAACACCTTTACCCATGGAGCCTTCTTGCTAATTTTTTTTTGTTTTTTTTTTTTTAAATAAATTTGTTTAGCCAGGCAGTGGTGGCACACGCCTTTAATCCCAGCACTTTGGAGGCAGAGGCAGGCGGATTTGAGTTCGAAGCCAGCCTGGTCTACATACTGAGTTCCAGGACAACCAGGGCTACAGAGAAACACTGTCTCAAAAAAACAAATAAACAAAAACAACAACAAAAAACAAACAAAAATTTGTTTTAGGGGGCTGGAGCTGTGGCTGGGATGGAAGAGCAAAGGACCTGGTTACCCCAGAACCCACATGGCAGCTCAAATGCCTGTAACCTCCAATTCTAGGGGACCCGACATCCTCACACATACATACATGCAGGCAAAACCACCAATCCACATAAATAATTTTTATAAATAAAAATTAATTGTATTAGCATTTTACCAGCATGTATATTATCCCAGAGGGCAGAAGATAGAATCAGTATGGTACCTTGTACTGCTGCTTAACAATACAAATGTCTGACACACAGATCAGTAAAGAATCTTTATTGTAGGTGGGTGGTGGTGGTGGTGCATGCCTTTAATCCCAGCACTTGAAAGGCAGGGGCAGATGGATGTCTAAATAGAGGGCAGCCTGGTCTACAGAGTTCCAGTACAGCTAAGGCTATATAGAAAAACTCTGTCTTGAGAAGCAAAACTAGAAGCTTTGTGGATGGAGAGATGGCTTAGTGGTTAAGAGCACTGATAGCTTTTCCAGAGGACTTGGGTTCAAAGCCCATGGAACTAGAGTTATAGGCTATACTGAACTGCCAGAGCAGTAAGCTTTTTCCTGTGCATTGGTGTCTTGGCTACACATATGCTTACATGAGAGTGTCAGATCTTGGAGTTAAGAGTCATGAGCCAGCCTGTGAGTACCGTGCTTCAATTCCCCCTGGAACTGGAGGTATGGACAGTTAATGTAAGCCACCATATGGGTGTTGGGAACTCGACTGTGATATTCCAGAGGAGTAAGTGTGCTGAGCCATCTCTCCATCAGCAAAACCAAGGCTGAGCTGAGGAGCACCACTCAGAGCAGAAGCAGGTGCTGACAGCCTGCTGGGAGGGAGGATGAGCTCTTGTCTGAGGTAAAGGAGATATATATACATATATATATATATATATGGGAGAAATCAGCCTCATGTCACTTACTGGAAGGTAAGCAGGCCTCTCACCCCATCTTCTCTGTCACATGCCATCCTGCTGTCTTCACAACTGAACCTCAACAGTTTTTAGGATCCTCAGTACTTGAAGATTTCCCTCCTCACTGTCCACTACTGGGAAGTCTCCGGGCTAGACTGGGAGCTCAAGCCCAGGCCTGTAGAACTGGAACCAACTTAGCACTGCAGCTCATAGGGAGATGCCTGCCCCACACCATCCAGAGCAGAGGAAGCACTGAGGCCCAGGTGGAGACATAGGCTGCCCCTCTGTCGGAGACGGGACACTGCCCTAAGGCCTCCCTATGTTACAGTTCGTGTGTGTGTACGATGGATGTATGTAGGTATGTACATGGTCCTTCTACTTTGTACATGGCTCCTGGAGACTCAGGCTCTCATGCTCACTCAAGTTGTCCTAACCCCCAACCACTGAGTCCTGAGCGTCCCCACTTTTGATGAAAGAAGATTCTGGGCCTCTGCAACTACCACAGGTGACTTTTATTTGTGAAGCTCCCAGGCACAGCCCAGACACACACAATGGGAAGTAGGAGGTGGCCAAGCAGCCACTTTGGGAAGTCACAGGGCATCTCCCATCCAGCTCCTGTCTCAGAAAACCCTCGAAGAGCAGGCCACAAGCACGTGGTTCAGGCAGTAGGGGACCTGCCCTTCCCTCCCCAGGATGAAGAACAGGGCTGGGCCAGCCAAGGTGCTTCTTCCACTGGGTCCAAGAGCCAGGGAACCACGGGCAATTCTCACTCCTGGGCTATTTGGGGTTGGCCCCTGGCTGCTCCTCCAAGCCCCATGGTTAAGGCTAGAGTTTCACTTTCTAATGACAGCCCACCTCTGACAGTCTCTGTACCATAGGCATGGTGGACACAGCACACAGTAATTCCCCAGGCTTTGGTGGGACAGGAAGGTAGGACAAGCAGGACAGCCAACAGGGCCTATGGCTAAGTTGGCCTAAGTTTAATAACAAAGCAGCTGTCAGCCCTTCCCCCGGGCTTCAGTACCCTACAGTGGACCTGGGTTAGTCCAGTAGGGAGATGAAGATCTGCAATCCAGACAGGAAGTACATACCCACACACACACACCAAACCAACACAGTATCAAAGGACCAATATGACATGTGAGACAAGGCCCTCCCCTGCCTCTGGTCAAAATCCTATCCAATGGAGATGCTGGCTGAGCTCAGTCCATCCCAGCCCCCCAGTCACTGGGGCAGGGCGAGGGACAAGAAGCTGGCTTTAAATCTACATGCTGTATAGTGTCTGCAGCAGATTGTGGCGGGCAAAGGAGCAGGATTCCAGTGCGCCATTGGGCCTGTGGAGAAGACAGCTCAGTGAGTGCTATCAGCATCTCAGGATCCTGGGAGGGAGCTCCATGGTCAGAACGGTCTGCCTCCTGGTGGGGATGGGGTATCCTCTGCTGGGAATTAGGACCCCTGGTCTCTGCATGGGGGCTGGACGGGGACTCTTGGGACTGATGCCGCCCACAAGCCTGTACTACTCACTTTGTCACAAACGCCAACAGCAGGGGCGCAAGAGCCTTGGGGAAATAGTCCTGCTGCACCGCGTGGTTCAACACCATCAGGGGGCCGTGCAGGTTGGGAATGGCCTTGATCTTGTCTTCACTCTGCAAACAAAGGTGGGTGAGCTCCATGGTCACCTGTGAGCCCTGGTTCCTACCTCAGTGACCCACAGACAGTGACGGGGAGCCTCACCTTGAGCAGACCCATATGGATGAGCAACCTGGTGAGGAAGGTGTTGGAATTGAAAGAGGAGGAGCTGAAAGCCGCCTTCATGAGGGCATCTGTAGGGGCAGAAATGGAGTGTGGTAGTAAGCAGAACAGGAGAGGGTTAGACATGAGGGGAGCCGGAGCCCCTGACTTTGGCCCTATCAAGAGGTAGAAGCTGAAGGGGATGCAGGTCCACCTGCCTGGGTCAGAGTACCAGCTCCCACGCCTTCCCCACCTAGCCTCTTATAAAATGGGTGTGGTGACAGGCCTACTCTCTACAGCTTGCACATGGAGCCAGAATGGTGCAAACCACTGGGGGAGGTTTTAGATATTGAGAAAAGGGGAAAAGAACGTAAGGTTCTCGTATCTGTAAATGTTCCCAGTTCCCCGGTGACCAGCCCTTGACCACAGAGCACACAGCCTAGGAAGAGGCCCGTGTCTCTGCTCCTTTTCTCTTGCCACGACCTAGTCCTTCCCTGGGCCTTCCTCACTCTCTCTCTCTCTTCTGCCTGGCCAAATCTGACATACCTGGAGGCTCTAACAGAAGTGACAGGTAGAAGGTGACAGAGTTGGACTGGAAACAGTGACATGGGGCCAGGTAGTGTTTGCAGATGTTATGAAACCAAGAACAGGTGTCTTGTTTTTGTGTCCACATGTGCAGAGTCTCTCACAGGGACACAAAGGCCTCCCTGACAGGAGAACTCACAGGGCCTTACAGATTTGACTATCTGGCTTTTAAAGATAGGCTGTGTCCTGCCCTGACCCTGCATAGCCTAAGTCCTAACTATATACAAACTTATGCTTTAGGAATTCTCCAGTGCAGAATTCAGGAGAGCATCTAGTTCTACAGCCCTGCCTCTCTCTCCCCTTACCGATGGCATCCAGCACTGCTGTCTTTACTGAGGCTTCGTCCCTGAACACAGATGCCACTTTCAGGAAGGCTGAAACAACCTTCTCAGGGTCGGAGGTATCAGTCTGAGGACAAGACATAATGGCTGGTTAGACACCAGAGCCCTGAGGCTCTGATTTCACACAAGATAGCTGCAAAAGGCCATGGCAATATTAGGGGTTGTGACGTGGCATGTGGCAAGGATAGGTGACTACTTTCCCCAGATTATTCCCTAGAGTCTGGTGAAAACCTGGCCACAACAGGTATGAGCAACAAGTGAGTTAAATACCGTTATTCCCAGGTGCTGGGGCAACATCTCTGTACACTGTGTGAAGGTGTGTGTGTCCTTCCTCACCTGCCTAAGGCATTCTCTAAAAGAGACAGCAGCAAACAGCTGAGGCAGGAAAGAAAAGTCGAGACTTCTGGGCAGAGCTATGAACTCTGGGAAAGAACCAGGCTGGAAGAGGACTAATCTAGTGACATGATTTAGTTAGGAAATAGCATAAGGCAAGGCCTGAGGTTAAGAGCACTGACTGCCCTCCCAGAGGTCCTGAGTTCAATTCCCAGCAACCACATGGTGGCTCACAACCATCTGTAAATAATCTGATTCCCTCTTACTGATGTGCATGGAAACAGAGCACATAAAATCTTAAAAGAAAAAAAGGGCTAAAGAAATTCATGTTACGCCAGGCGGTGGTGGCGCACGCCTTTAAACGCCAGCACTTGGGAGGCAGAGGCAAGTGGGTTTCTGAGTTTGAGGCCAGCCTGGTCTACAGAGTGAGTTCCAGGATAGCCAGGGCTACACAGAGAAACCCTGTCTCGAAAAAACAAAAAGAAATTCATGTTACTTTACAAACAAAACAAAAATTAGACAATCCTTCAGAGGAATCCAATCCTATCAGGCCACTCTGAAGGAGACAGCAGAATGGTACCTAGAGCTGCTTTATACTGAATTAAGACTACAGATTCTGTTTGATGACACGTTATTGCCATACAATAACATTCTTTCATTTTGTAAATTAAAGCATGTGTTAATTATACAATTGATACCTATTCAAAATTTCAAATGGCTTCTTCTGCCATGAGTTCTGGGAAGGCTGATTCTGTAGTTACACATTTATTAAAAATGTTGGCTCTCAGAGAGATGCCTTTTCAGAGTGAAGCTGATACACTTTACACAACAGTGAGACAGGTTAGCAGTGTCCCCAATACTAATTCAAAGACGGGTACTGAAGAACCTCTATATGGCACTTGCCTCAAACATGACAAAGCTAGCCACCAGGCAACAAACTGCCCTTGCCTTGACTGCTGACAGCAGGCTGTGGACAAACAGGACACTGGGAAGTTGACTGACCAACTCTGCAGAGTCAAGGTAGGACAGGCCTTTCTATTTCCTGCTTCACAGAAAGGTCTGTCAGATATTCTGGGCCTGTAGGCTCCAGACGGACACCCCACTGCAGAGGAACCTTGGGTGACTGACCAGGCGGCGAACAAGAACTAGTATAGACGGAGCTGACAAATTATAGGATCTAGTTGGCAAACAGCCTGAGCTACAGTAAGCCTCTGTGTCTTTAATGGGAGTGGTTGGGCCAAGACCGTCTGTCAGGACGCTGGGAGTGGTCGTCATGTTACTCTAACACTACACATCAAGCCTAAAGACCCAAGTTTGATACTTGGCAGAAGAGAACCAATTTCTTCTGCAAGTTGTCCTCTGACCTCCACAGACGTACAAAATAAAAGGATTTTTTGGTTTTGGTTTTGTAATTTATTGACCAGAGTCTCACTACGTATCTCCAAACTGGCCTCGAACTCATAGTTCACCTGCCTCTGCCTCCCCAGGCTAAACTTAAAGGTGTGTGCCTGGCAAAATGTAAGGCTTTTTTTTTTAAGGGGAAAAAAAAAGCCCAACTAAGGACGTATGTGATCTCCATTTCAGCTTGCCAGAGTAACAGAAACTATGCTTCAGTATAAGGTGAAGGATTACTCCTCCCTGATATCACGTGAGGCTGGTTGGCACTTGAGCTGCAGATAACCGGGAAAGGGGGTTTGCTCCAAAAGCAGCTAGGCAGGCAGAGCTCAGAGCTCATGGCACACACACTGGGCATGCGCAAGTGAATCTGGCAGAAACTCAAATTCTCCAGTTTGAGTCTTTGCTAGGACATGGAGGGACCCTTATGACACTACAGCTCAGGGGTGGGAGGCGGGGAGTGCTCTTACCTGCTGGACCATCAGCACTGAGACCTTGGGACCCAGACGCAGCAGCTTCTCTGGGGAGGGGAATGACAGGAAGGTGGAGAGGTCTGTGGGAGGCGGGGAGGACAGCACGGGAGCTGGCTCCTGAGAAACAGGTGACACAGGGGCTCTGTAGATTCCAAACCCCACATTCCTCGACCTGGCTGTGCCCGTTCCCGTGCCAACAGCATCCTTACTCCAGTCAGCTCTAGAGTCTAGGTCCAGAATTAGCTCTCACTCAGTCACAGGTCCCCAAGTGTTCTCAAGGTTTGGGTAAAAGTCAGGATAACTTTAGCCTTAGCACTCAAAGTGGAGTTTTGCCATGCAAACAAGACAGGTGCCTGGGTCAGTGCTTGCTACTAACAAGTACCAGGGAAACCTAACCTTGAGAGGCACTCTGTCAGTCAGCTGCTCCCAGAGCACAGGAGAGCAGCCCTGCTCCACAGGTGTGCGAGTTCTAGCTGTAGCTCAGAAACTGTGACACAATGAACTGACATGTGGCAGTGGGGTCAGGCAACTAACCCAAGTCATTGTCAACCCCAGCTCTTGACTGCCCCCCAAGAGTCACCAGGATAACCCATAGCGGAGAGGAAAAAAGATTAACTATGTAGCCCTGGGTAGCCCCAAAACTTTTCGGCAATCCTCCTGCATCATTCTTCTAAGGCTAGAGTGACAGGCATAAGTTATGTTCAGTGCTACATAATTTTTGGTGTTACAGTTTATTTCTACATGAAATAAGCACACGAGTATGCTTACATTCTGGCAAACACTCAAAGAGGTCCCTCCTGGAATAATCTGAGAACCAGCCGGCCTTTGTATTTACTGGACTTAAACAGATGCTAGCTATACCCCAGGACTCTGTTCCCAGCAAATAACAAACTCACTCCACTGTTAGGGTCCAGGATCTTCCTTGAGGGTGTAGCTGGCTCCTCTCCTGACCCTCGATTCGGTAGCTCTTCCTCTTCTTCCTCCTCCTCCTCATCATCCTCTTCCTCCTCCTCCTCGTCATCCTCTTCATCTTCCTCATCTTCATCCTCTTCTCCTTCTTCCTCATCATCTTCATCCTCTCCCTCATCATCACTGTAGAGAAAAGCCAGCTAAAGCCCAGCAGGCCATGTTGACTCAGAGGTCCATCCAACTCTGAGGCTACGAACTCTGGCTACGCCAAGCAGCACTGCACACAGGATGGCAAGCAGGGTCACCAGAGTCTTCATTCTGCTAAGGATGGTGCCTATGCTACAGACACAGAAGAATCAGAAATGGTCACTGTCCCCAAAGAGCCTTAAGTCCCACGTGGAAGCAGGTAAAGGAGCCTGTTGGGACCTGAGCAGACTTGGGTGCCTGGGGTGGCACCAACTGCATCTCATGGGGCCACGAAGGTTAGGAGCGTGCAAGAGTGATGTGCTTCTAGTTCCCTTGAAGCTCTGCTGCACACCAGAGTGACCAGGCCCAGCCTGAGGGCACATACACAGTGCCAACATGAGAATGAAGCCTCCCTGGGGATGACAGCAGCCCTCCAGGGCCTCCCCACACGCAAGTTTATAAGCTGGTCTTTTGGTGAACACAAAAGCTCTCCTCTATCCCTTTCTCCAACACCTAGCACAAGGCACCAGCTACTAGGCTGGCAGGTAGGAGACAAGCCAAAGAGAAATAAGTGAAGGCCTGACCCTTGGCCTCTGGAGCCACCATCCCAGAGTTCCCTACCTGAGGGATGCCAGCACTTTGGCCATATTGAAGCTGTCCAGCACCTCCTGAAGTTGCTCACAGCCCTCTTCTCCTAGGGCATTGCCTGATCCAGGATGGAAATGAAGGTCAGGGAGGACAGTGCTGGGGCCAGCTGCCCAGCGATGAGCTGAGGCTAGCCCCTACAACTTACCATTGAGGTCCAGCTTCTCCAGCTCAGCCTTGTCAGCCACAGCCTCAGCAACAACCAGGGCAGCATCTCTCTTGATTTCACAGAACGATAGGTTCAGCTCCTAAGAGCAAGAGGAACAGTAGAGAGGCATGTCAAACCTGGGCCAAGAGACAAGTCCTGTTCTCGTCAGCTTCTCCCTGAACAGTGAAAGCAGGCTTGGTCTTCTGCTTTTGGCATTGGGGGTTGAAACAATAAAAACAATACATGAACCCAGTGCAAAGTACTTGACATGTTTACACCAAAGTGAGAAGGCTGAGACCTGTCCCCCTCTTCACACCAGACCCTTTCCGAACGCATTACCTTCCCCCCAACCCCCAACCCCATACACACAACACACAAGCAGGAGGAAAAGCTGGCACCTTCAGCTTGGGCAGGCCCCCACGGACAGCATCTGCGATGGCCACGGCGCCCTTAGAGCGCACCAGGCAGTCTCCAAAATTGATCACCTCCACTTGTCGCAGAGCCTTCAGGGTCTGAGAGGAGGGAGCAAGGGTCTAGGTGATTCGACCATTCTTACACACTGGCCCGGCCTCAGCATCCGCTGAGTTCTCACACTGCCCACTGGCCTCTGAAGCCCTGGCTAAACCTCAAGCTCACCGCTACCCATGTTACAGAGTTCTCTCCAAAGCACGATCAAATCTAATCACATCCCATCACATCAGGGTTTCAAATCCTCCATGGCTTCCTATTCCTTACAGATAGTTTCAGACTGGGCAATACTACAAGGTCTCAAATTCCTTTTCCCTTCATTATTCCAATACCCCTGAACCTCAGTCATTTCAAATAAGGACCAACTTAGGAAGGCTCCTTGTTAGCCTGTAGACTTCTCACATTCCACTGATCATGGTGCCTGAACCACCCATCCCCACCACTCATCAAAATCAACCGTCTTTTATCCTTAGTCAAAACAAGCAGGCACAAGTCTAAGATCCAATCCCTCTTCCCACCGGGTGCTAACACCTGCATTTGTGACATTGTAACTTACCTTTCATGAGCCCTTCCCACCCAGAGGCCACTCAACATTAGGTTGCAGGGACCTTGTAACACACAACCCTATTCTGTGCAAATGAGAGAGGCTGTGGGGTATTCAACATGGAAGGATGGAAAGGTATGGCAGAGCCATGCTGGCCCGATACACCCGCCTCACCTCAGCCATGGCCACTCCACCCTTCTCAGTGAAGGTGTTGTCATTTAGGTTGATGACTCGCAACAGAGGGTTGATGGCAAATGCCTGGGCCAGGGCCGTGACACCAGGGTGGTTAATTCCATTCTGTGGCATATGGACCTCTTCCAGAGTCCCGATGATCTGTGGGACAAAAGAGAGTTGAGAGGTGTGGCCTGGTGCTCCACTGACACTCAGTGAGAGATGCTGCCAGTGTCCAGGGCACAGATCTCCAGGCAAGTGTTTGAATATGGCTACATCAGATCCAGGAAGAAGACAAGGGGTCAGAGATGCCAAAGACTGGCCAAGCTCACACAGAATGGAGGTTTCTCATTGGTATCCTTGGTGTGGTGGCAGTGGGGCTCTTTTCTAGCTGTGCAGGACCTCTCATCTTTCTGAGGACCTCCTACCCAGCTAGTCTCACTTTCAGGCCATAGCCTTTCTAGGCCTTTGACACCTCACCCTCTCTGCTTTTGAGTACCACTATTTCCCCATTTGCTGACATTTCTATTTATCTCACAGACTCCAAACTAGAGCCTTGAGTGTGCTCATGTTGGGCTACCATCCCACTGGCATTTTCTTTAAAACAAACAAACAAACAAACCAAACCCATTATTGTGAACTGTATCTGTGCCTGTGAGTGCAGGTGCCAAGAGACCAGAAGAGGATCCCTGGGCGCTGGGCTTACAGGCATCGTGAGTTTTCTGACCACAGGCACTGGGAGCCAAACTCAGGTCCCCAGCAAGTACAGCACTGCCCTCTGCTAAGCCAACCCCCACTCCCACATCCATCATCTTCTGTTTCTGTTGCTGTCATAAAATGCTTTGACCAAAAGCAACTTAGGAAAGGGGGCCAGGCATGGTGACACGTGCCTTTACTCCTAGCCCTTGGGAGGCAAATCTCTGTGAGTCTGAGGCCAGCCCTACATAACGAGGCACTGTCTAAAAAAAAAAAAAGCTGGAAGAACCTGGTACTCAGGAGGTAGAAACAGGCAGATCCCCATAAGTTTGAGGGCAGCCTGATCTACAGAGCAAGTGCCAGGATAGTGAGGTCTACAGAGAAAGCCTCACTTGGGGGTTGTGGGGAGGAGAAAGAAAAAGAGGCTGGAGAAATGGCTCAGAGTTTAAGAATAGTTACTGTTTTTCCAGATCATCTTAGGTTCAATTCCCAGCACCCACATGGTGGCTTACAACTATCTGAAACTCCAGTTCTGGAAGAGGTGCTCTCCTCTGCCCCACAGGCATAAGGCACATACACAGTAGACATACAGCCATGCAGGCAAAACACCAAGACACACAAGATAATTTGTTTAAAAAAAAAAAGGGTTTTCTCTTGTTTTTTGAGACAATGTTTCGATATGTAGTCCTGATTGTCCTGGAATTCCCTTTGTACACCAGGCTGGCCTTGAACTCGAGTTCTGCCTGCCTCTGCCTTCCAAATGCTGGGATTAAAAGTGTGTGCTGCCTTGCCAGGCAGTGGTGGCACACGCCTTTAATCCCAGCACTTGGGAGGCAGAGGCAGGTGGATTTCTGAGTTCGAGGCCAGGCTGGTCTACAGAGTAAGTTCTAGGACAGCCAGGGCTACACAGAGAAATCCTGTCTTGAAAAAACAAAAACAAAACAAAAACTTAAAAAAAATAAAATAAAAATAAAAAAGTGTATGCCACCCCACCCAACTGTCTTTTTTTTCTTTTTTAAAGATTTATTTACTTAATGTATGTGAGTATACACTGTAGCTATCTTCAGACACACCAGAAGAGGGCATTGGATCCCATTACAGATGGTTGTGAGTCACCATGGGTTGCTGGGAATTGAACTCAGGATCTCTGGAAGAACACTTAATGCCCTTAACCACTGAGCCATGTCTCCAGCCCTTGTTTTTTGTTTTTTGTTTTTAAATAAAGGTATGGACCCACAGCCCTTTTCTGAGTTCTGTTCATTCTAGTCACATAGCCAACATCCCATTTGTTCTCTGTTCCAGGACAAGCTCCAGCAGCTGCAAATGCCCCTCTTCCTCAAAGCTGTAGGAGAAGCACCAAGGGAAACGGAAAACCACCCGCTGGGACATCCTGGCTCAGGGTGCAGCATGTCTGTCCCCAGACCAGCAAGTGGCAGGAATGGGAAAGACTCACGTGTGGGAAAAGGAGGTTTCTATTGTACTTTTGTTTACAACTTTATGTCAAAGTCAGTATTTCAGGAAAGTCAAAGACGACAGCTGAAGAACCCGGCCAGCTGCGGCATCTCCCCAGTCAGGGGAGAGAATGAACCCCTCGCTTCCTTGTTTTTGGCTCAGATACTTTTCTTTACTAAGACAACTCAAGAAACAGCCCATAAATGTACTCTCCACATTCAGTGTGGGACTTTCCACTTCAAAGAACAATAAAGACCCGCCCCTCCCCAACACACACAGACAAGTCCATAGGCCACCCTGATCTAGACTAACTCCTCACTAAGACTCTCTTTCCTGAGGCTGGAGAAGACTAGCCCAGGCCTCATTGTGTCCCAGTGGCACACGCAGACACATGCAGGTGAATATATGAGCCAAAAAGAAATACAGACCCTCATGTCAGGGAGTGGAGAATGGCCCCGTGGCTAAGAGCACACACAGCTCTTATAGAAACCCTGACTTCATTCCCTAACATCCATGTTGGGCAGCTCCCAACTACCTTGAACTACAGTGCCAGGGTGACCCCACGACCCTGGCCTCTGTACACACCTGCACTCATATGCACCCCCAAACCCTCTTCCCACGTAACTCTTCTAGGTCGTATCAATCTGACAAACACTAGCTGTACACCTGGGAAGACTTTCTGGATTCTCCTAGATGCAGTTCTTTTCCACATGAGGATTGTACCTCGTTACCCTAAATTTTCAAAGAAAGGTCCCATGTTTAGACAGACTAGAGTACCTCACACAAAGACGCCCTTAGCACTTACTAAAAAGTAGGAAGCCTGGATTTAAGACCCAGTACCACAAAACCCAAAACATAGGCTCAGTCAATCAAGTGCTTGCCTTGCAAATATGAGGACCTGAGTTCAACTCCTAGGAATCACATGAAGATGCCAGGCCATGGCATGATGGTAGCACTTGCTAGCCTCGCACCAGAGGCAAAGACTGGAAGAACCCAGGGGCTCACTGGTCAGCCATTCTAGCCCAATTCCTAAGCTTCAGCCAAACTGAGGTAGACTGCATAATTGGTGATAACACCTGAGTTTGTTTTCTGACATAAACATACCTCAAAGAAAAGAAAATGAAACTAACCACAGGGTGTATATGGGTTTGAAACTGTCCACAACAAGGACTCCTAAACCCAAGAACAAATGATATTGTTCAGCTACATTAGAAATAAGAGCCTTGTCATCTACCTTGACCACCGCAGACTCAGGGTAGGACACTGTGGATGGAACAAGAACCCAATCTAGGCAGAGTAGAGGACTGAGGGTACAGGCCCCAGGAAGGGCCTATCTGAGGACAAGTAGCTCCCCTCCAGCCTAGAGAACAGTCTGCAAGGACCATTCCTACCACGGGTGGATGAGGAGTCCTTATGGGATAGCTCCTGTGCTGGCCCACTCAGGGCCACAACAGGGCTGCTGCTGTGGCCATTTGCTTAGTGCTGGTGAAATTTTATTTGCTGAGAACAGAAGGGAATGAAGACCAAGTTTCCACTCCTAGTGAGGGCAGAATCCATCCTAACAGCTAGAGTACCACCCACATATATACTGTGTAGTATCCTAGAACTTGGGGATAGGAGAGAAGGGTACCAGGAGGCGAAGCTGGCAAAGGTGCTGCAGGGGCCAGCGAGATGGTGCAGTGGGTGAAGACTATTGCTTTGCAAGTCTGAGAACTCACAGAAAGTAGAGGGACAGAACCAACCCTGCCCAGCTGTCCTCTGACCTCTACATGTGTACTACGTCATGGCACCCACATATACCTATAATAAACAAATTTTTTTTGACAAATAGCAGGGCGGTGATGGAGCACGCCTTTAATCCCAGCACTTGAGAAGCAGAGATAGGTTTTGAGTTTGAGGCCAGCCTGGTCTACAGAGCGAGTTCCAGGACAGCCAGGGCTACATAGAAAAAAATTCTGTTGGGCAGTGGTGGCGCACGCCTTTAATCCCAGCACTTGGGAGGCAGAGGCAGGCGGATTTCTAAGTTCGAGGGCAGCCTGGTCTACAGAGTGAGTTCCAGGACAGCCAGGGCTACACAGAGAAACCCTGTCTCAAAAAAAAAAAAAACCTTAAAAAAAAAAAATCCTGTCTTGAGAAACCAAAAGAAAGAAGAAACCAGGTGTGGTAGCTATTCCTGGTTGGCAACTTGACTATATCTGGATGAACTACAATCCAGAATTGGAAGGCTCACCTGTGATCCTGATCTTGAGGCAGTGGCTATCAAAAGTTTAGGCCCAGGCAAGGTAGTACAAGCCTTTAATCCAAATCTAGGCGTGGTGGCACACATCTTTAATCTAGGCCACACCTTCTGCTGGAGACCCACATAAGATTCTCTCGTTTTCACCTACTTGCCTTGTGGGACTGAGCAACTGCTAGATCCTTGGACTTCCATTCACAGCGGCTGCTGACCATAGTTGGGGAGTTGGACTACAGACTGTAAGTCATCAACAAATTCCCTTACTACATATAAAGACTACCCATAAGTTCTGTGACTCTAGAGAACCCTGACTAACACACCAGGCATGATGACAGACACCTTTAATCTCAGCACTCATCTGTAAGTTTGAAGCCAGCCTGGTCTACACAGAGTTCCAGACCAGCCAGGACTAGAGACATACCCCATTCTCAACTCAACAAATCTAACAAACCGACACTGTCAACCTGTTATGACCCCCTTTCTGTCTGGCACAGCAGGGTAAAGAAATGACTCACCCCAAAAGCTTCTGCCAGTGCAGTGGCTCCATCATTCTCCAGGCGATTTCTGCCAGCTACAAACACCTTCAGGGCCAGTGGCTTGCCTTGAGCACTGGACTTTCGGTGACACTCAGTCAGAGCTGCTGCCAGGATCTGTAGGAAAGGCAGAGCTGTGTGCATACCTTGGCCAGGTCCTGATTCCACCTGCCTCTCGACTGTTCCCCTCCAGTGAAGCACACCTCCTCCGGGGGAAGATCAGGAAACACTGCTACAGTGCAGTGGTCACAGAGCTGCTATACTTTGTGGTGTTTTTGTTCTTGTTGGGGTTAATTGCAGGGGTCTATGGCAGGTAGAGGCAGACAGGCCAGCTGGATTTTAAGCTAACTGCGGTGTGGACTCCCAGTTATCTCATAGTTCTGCTAGGTTAAAGCTGTCATGATTTCAACCTCTCAGATGAAGAACTAGACTATGAGAGGCCAGACTCTTATACTGAGATACGGTCTCATGTATTTGAGGCTGGCCTTGAACTCATGCTGCTGTAACTCAGCCATCTAATGATCCTCCTGCCTCAACCTCCAGAAAACTTAATAGCCAACATGTACAACAGCAACCAGCTTAGAGACTTTCTCATGATCACTAAGCCAGCGGACTCTGAATCAGAATGGAGTCCTGAGCTGGGCGGTGGTGGCGCACGCCTTTAATCCCAGCACTTGGGAGGCAGAGGCAGGCGGATTTCTGAGTTCGAGGCCAGCCTGGTCTACAGAGTGAGTTCCAGGACAGCCAGGGCTACACAGAGAAACCTGTCTCGGGAGAAAAAAAAAAAAAAAAAAAAAAAAAGGATGTAGCTCGGCTGGTACAGTGCTTACATGCACAAAGCCCTGGGTTTGATCACTAACAACACAGAAAGAGGGCATCAGGTAGCATGCCTGTAATCACAGCACTTAGGAGGAAAAGGAAGGATTGAACTTCACGGTCATGCTCAGCCAGATGCTGAGTCTGAGATAAGGTTGTGCTACAGGATACCCTGTCTCAAAAATAAAACACAGCCAAGCAGTATCAGAACAAGCCTTTAATCCCAGCATGAGGGAGGCAGGCAGCTTTCTGCTGAGTTCAAGGCCAGCCTGGTCTACATGGAGAAACCCTATCTTTTTTTTTTTTTTTTTTGGTTTGGTTTTTCGAGACAGGAGAAACCCTATCTTGAAAAACCAAAACCAAAACACAAATACATAAGAAGCTCCCTTAACGTGAAAGGTGTTAGATGGGGAAGAGTGCACCTGGGGAAGGACTGCAGCCTGCTGCCACAATTCCTTAACAACACAGGACAACCGCTACAGAGGGGGTCACGGGCTCCTTCGCCTGGGACAATTCAAGGCCCATTCTAGTTTTTTGGATCTAACTGGAGCCTGGGAGATACAGATTTAGCTCAATGCTGGAGCTTTAGGTTCTAGGTTTAATCCTCACTGCCACAAGAGGCAGAAAAAAAAGAACAGCTCCGCTGGTGAAGGCTGAGACTCTCCTCACCCCACCCCCACACCTTTGTTCACTCTGTAGGAAAATGGAGGTGGTGGTGCCAGCAATGTACACACACCCATCTTCATAAACACACCCCTATTCCTCTTAGCTGTGTCCCAGCTCTGGGTCTGATAGAACCTCGAAAAGAGAGGGGAAAGGAGGGCAGTCTCCATCACTGCATGGCTGGTAGTCACAGGGTGAACTTAAGGCACAGCCCTGTCCAGAAATAAGCCAACTGTGACTGGGGCTGTGCCTGTTGTTCTGAGTAGCAAGAGATTTGGTACACGGATATTGCAACCCTAAGTTCTGCACAGCAAGCAGGTCAGAGCAGGTTATGCAGCAGCACTGCCTGTGTTGCCAAGGCAACTCAAGAACTTGGAATGGTTGCTTAGCAACCTAACCTTCTGGACTCCTTTCCTCACTGGCTGCAGGCTGCTGTCTTTGAGGCTTTGCTTTTCTCCTCTGAAGTGACAGAAAACAGCCCCTGCCCCCAAAGGTGGTCCTCAGGGCCAGAACACACAGCCCAATGTGGATGCATGAAGGGACCGCCCAGGGCTGCCAACCCACCTTGCCACCGCCGATGCCCATGCCACAGTTGTTAAGCTTGAGCTCCTGCAGGGTGAAGCAGGCTGGGCTCTTAAGAAGGGCCTCAAAGCCTCGCACTCCATCAGGTCCAAACGCGTTGTCACTGAGGTCCAGTTCCGTCAGCTGTGCTCCTGCAGTGATGAGTCCCTCCCCTAGTGAGAGCTGCACACAGAGAGAACGCACTCGGTCTCCCAGACATCCACCAGACGCCACTTCTTTGCCAGCCCCAAACCCTGTCCACAGGTCATACCCAAGTCGGTGGGAATGTAGCACAGTAACTGGCTTAAAAATCATGTGTCACTGTCACTATTACTATGTGCTTGAGTCCAGGCACATGTGTACTTAAACACAAGTATAGAGGTCAGAGAACAACTTTTGGGAGCTGGTTCTCTCTCTCCACCAGGGCATTTATTGCCTGAATGCAGCTTGAACTGAGGCGTGCACAGTTCACACTCAAATGCATGTACCTTTACCCGCTGAGCCATCGTGCTAGCCCAGACACTGGCTTTTACAGCAGAGTTTACTTACTATGTTCCTACACTGAAATGGGAGTGAGTGGGCCCAGGAGTAGGAAAATCTGGGAAGGCTCTCTGTAGGAGATGGTACTGAGCTCACTGAAGAGGCAGCCAGTCAACACTAAACACCTCAAGCTTCAGGACTGACTGAGCAGGATGCTGTTGGAAACATGGGCGTGGTACAGAAGCCTACCCCAGCCATACCGGGAGAAAATACTAGAGGTGGCTCTGCCAGAAGGGATGAGGGAAGGGGGCAGACATAAGAGAGGGCAAGTAGCTCACAATGGCAGGACTTCAAGAGGGGACACCCTGCTTTTGCCTATACCACCCACAAAGGTTCCTATTATCCTAGCACTCAACAAAGACAATGGCTGCATTGCCATCTGAAGGTCTGGCTCCAGCGGTACAATGTCTACCTCTCCCTGGACAAGTATTGTCACATGCCCCAGGGTTCGCTTACTTTCTCTTATTTACACCCCTAAAGATCCGTTCTCATGACTGGAATGTGAAGACATAACACATCTTCAGTGCCGAGCAAGTTTTCTGAGACGCCACAGAAAGTTGCTGTACTTTCTGTTCTGCCCTGACTAGTTTACTCAGCCTGCGTTCTGAATCCTGCTTATCCTTCCAGGGTGAACACTAGCTCCATCTCTTGGGAGCTTGCCCCATAGAGTGGACCAGAATCCTCTGCTACGGCTCTTTAGGAGGATAGTGAGGAGGCTTTTCTGAAACGAACTGAAGGCCTAAGGATGAGATGGGACAGTCACCATCATGGATTCCTTTGTCTTGAGGCTCTGTGCTAAGACCCAGGCTAGTTCTCTCTCCTCTCCCTGTCTCTAAGGCTCAAATGCTGGGAACTGCAATCTGGAACTATAGCCCCTTGAGTATCACAGCAAAGAAAGTAACACAGTAACAAAGAAAGGTGAGCAGTCACAAGATACTGTGGACAGACAGGATCCTAAGGAAACAGGCCCCGGGGCACTAGGACTCTGGGAACACCTGCTCGGAGCAGCATCTCCTCCCATCCAAAGCTTGGCCCTGTGGGCTCCTTCATATCCTCACCTGCTCCCATCCCCTTTCGGGACACAGGGCAGGTGCTGGGCTAGCCCTGTTTCCACCTGGGAGGCTGAACTGATTCTCCAGAGCAAACAGGTGTGAGGGGTGTCTGGGCCCATAAGAAAATACAGCCTGGGCCTTACCAGAGCCGGTGGGATCTCAGACCGAAGCCTTCCAGTGAACATGTCACTCCAGTGGCATCGCTGTACATGAAGAAGAAGAGTGTTAGCCAGAGAACCCAGGAGCAACCTCAAGTGAGGCCTCACACCAGCAATGCCTCCTTGAGAGCTTGGGCACCACGAGAAACTAGATTTCCTAGTTTCAGTTTTCTCAGTAGAGAATTAGATCAAATTTGCCCACAGCGAGAGGGACCCGGAAGCAAAGAGTACGTGAAGATTCTGAGTGACAGAACACCATAGAAGTAAACAGAGGCATTACCATGGAGAAGCACCTCTTTCCAACCCTCCTGACATCCACCTGGGGCTAGGCCTTCCCCACCACTTCCACTGTTTGCCCTTTTGTTCTCGTATGGCCAACAGTCTCTCTTGGCCAAGCTAACCTCAAGCTATGTAAGTGAAGTCGGCCTTGAACCAACCTCTGGAGTTCAGATTTGCACCACCATGCCCACCAACTAACTTGCTTTTCATCAACTAGACTGAGAACAAGACTCAGACGCAGAGCCGTTGGATGGCAATATCATCAAGCTAAAGTCCACACTATTCCTTGTGCATTTCTTGTGCATTGTCTGGTGACTTCCTTTTTAGAGAAAAGGTGCTCGCCTTTAATTACTTGAAGGCTGGATTAGGGGCTGGAGAGATGACTCAGCATTTAGGAGCCCCGGCTGTTCTTCTAGAGGACCCTGGTTCAGTTCTCAGCACACAACTTCCTAAGGCTTCAGCTCCAGGAGATCCTATGTCCTCTTCTGTCCTCTGCCAGGTACACGTGTCATACACATATACACTAAAGCAAAATACCCATACACATACAATTTTTTTTTCCTACAATACATAAAAAGCTAGTTCAGGGAAAAGGATCAGATAAATGTCACAAATGCAGGAACCATTTAGAACTTGGTGGCACAAGTCATATCCCAGGCTCTGGTAACGACAGGCGGGTTTGTAAGTGCAGCCTATTAGGAGCGTGTGCTGGCTAACTCTCATGCTCCTTGGGAGAACGGTACATGCACTGTGAGCAGACGACTCTCCGAGCTTGTCTTTTGTGGGTACAACTTCCAATGAAGACCCTGTGCTCCTGATGCTACCTGAAGATTGCCTCATTTCAGAAAAAAAGGGTAAAACTTTATGTTCTCAAGTATTCAAATGGAGAGGAACTACAGCCAACAGGACAGGGCTTTGGCAGGTTCCAGACCTAAGTGGCAGTTGTGGTGATGTGAGGTCTTATCAGGTACAAACCTCTGCTGCTTCACTCTCACCTTCAGCTCGGACTTCTTCTCTAAGGCCTTGGCGATGACTCTGGCGGCTTCCACGCCCACTGTGTTGCCCTCAAATCGTAGAGCTTCCAGGCCGTCAAACTCTTCAATCTCCTTAATCACATCTTTAGCTATGTAAACAGAAGACACCTCAGGCTTAGGCAGCCATGAACCCAACAGGACAACTCAGGAACCAGTACTCATTTACTCCAAGGGCTATGAACCATGCACCTCTGGAGAAAGAAGAACTGGACAGACTCAAGCTTCCGAGGGAGTAGAGCTGTGACGACTAATTCTCTATGATCAGATAACACTAGTGACATGAATCAGGTTTTTGTTTCTGTTTTTGTTATTTTTAAAGACAGGATGTAGCACAGTTAGGCTTTGAAGTTTTCTATAAAGTCCAGAATGACCTTGAAATTCTGACTGATTCTCCTGCTGGCTCGGGCCTCTTCTCCAGGGGTCCTGAGGACAATGGCTGGACTGATCTCTTTGCCTTTTGCTAATCTTGCTCCAAAAGGTAACCACCTCTAATGTCAGAGACTGGATTTCCCAGATGGCTGTTCCAGGAAACAGCCTTAAAAGCAAGAAGGGCAGGGCCAGGCCTGGTGACACACACCTTTAACCCAGTACACAGGAGGCAGCATTGAGAGGATCTCTGTGACTTAGAGGCCAGCCTGGTCTACACATCGAGTTCCAGGACAACCAGAATTACAAAGAGAGACCCTGTCTTACCAAATAAATAAAAATTAAAAATTAATTAATTAAAGGTAGATAAATAAAGTGACCTTCACTTCTTGGGTCCTTTGTTCAAGTATCTCAAAACAGGCTCACATTCTGCCTCCCAAATACCTCGTTTCCCCTCAAAGTTAGGAGTTCCTGAAAGGCTAGGGTAAGCTAGCCTTCCTAGTGACCTAATATAATGCTAGCAACATGGAAAAATTAGCCACTGGAATTGCAAAGCTTTCTGCAGTGCTGGGCATTAAATCCATGGTTTGTAGCGGGCCCCCCCCCCCCTCCCCAGTGGGGGGGTGGCGCACACCTTTAATCCCAGCACTTGGGAGGCAGAGGCAGGCGGATTTCTGAGTTCGAGGCCAGCCTGGTCTACAGAGTGAGTTCCAGGACAGCCAGGACTATACAGAGAAACCCTGTCTCGAAAAAAAACAAAAAAAAAAATTCCAGGGTTTGTACAACACAAGCATTAAATCACTGAGCTGCACCCTGAGTTTCAAAGCTTGAGTTTCTCAACCCTACCTCAAGCACTGGTGACTGTACCCTTAGGGAGTTATACCATGTCCTCAGTCAGTTTTCAAATCTGCAATATGGGAATAAAGCCTTGGAAAGGAAACAAACAGCATACATTTATTTATTGTCTGTGTTTGTGTAAGTTCACATAAATGTGGAGGTCAGAGAACAACCTGCAGGGGTCAGTTCCTCCTCCCACATATTCCAGAGATTGAACTTGGGTCATCAGGCTAACCAGAAACTGCCTTCAGCAAGTCTGTACTTACTAAATTAAGCTCAGTGTCTATTCAGAAGCATGGGAGCAGGGAATTCGGCTGGATCTCACTAATCTTGCAATCTGTGAAGTCTGCGACCTTGAATGCGTTAGTCTCACGTACAGAACAGCGGCATCTCAACCCACTTCCCACGGAGATGACAGTACAGATCCCAGCACTTGAGAGTTGTAGAGGCAGGAGGATTAGGAGTTCAAGGCCCTCTTTTGATCTCTTGCCTCTTGTTTCTCCTTGTCCCCACTCCTCCCCTCCCCCCACTCTCTCCATGTGCTCATGGCCTGCCTCTACTCCTCTACTTCTCTCTGCCTCTACTACCCTCCTGGCTCCCCTCCCCATGCCCTGAATAAACTCTATTCTATACTAAAAAAAAAAAAAAGCATTCAAGGCCATTCTCTGCCACACAGCCAGTTTGAGACCAGCCTGGTCCACAGAGTAAATTCAAAAAGAGCCAAGGCTACATACATAAACTCTGTCTCTAAAACAAAATACCAAACCAAATCAAAACAACAAGTCAGGTATAGTGGTGTGTGCCTTTAATCTTAGCACTCAAGAGGCACAAGGATCTTTATGAGTTCAACTACATAGATAGCCTCTAGCCTCGTCTACATAGCGAGGCCGTCTCAAAATAAAACAACCAAACACAACAAGTAAGGAACCAAACCAAACAGAGCAAGTGAAGTTGAGGGGCTGGATGTCCACAGAGAAATCTGTCAGTTTCAAAGTACTACGAAGCTGTTGGGGATGGACATTCCAACTGTTGTAAGGTTCGAAAGTCCCCTTTGGGAGGGGAGTAATTTACGGGTGCGTGAGACAATCTGGCAAGTCCCAACCAGTTTCTCTGGTTGGGCCAGAACCCCAAGAGGCCTCACAAGGTCTGAAGGCAGATACCTTTATTTCCAGGCAGCAAGGGATTCAGCATTCTCCGTGCTAGCTAAGCCTTGGTCATGAATGGGAAGACAGGAACCTGATTCCATCTCCCAAGGACGCCTGGTTGCAAGGACTGAAACTTCCCATGAGAGCCCAACACTGTTGTTTCACTGCAGCTCCCTCGGGGCCTCTGCCATAAGGAAGACAGCTGCCCTGGGATGGGAAGAGCTCTGAAGCCAGGGCTGAGCCAGATGGACAGGGATCTAGTCTAAGGCATACATACATTAGTGAAACCCTGTGAAGAAAAAAAAAAAAAAAAAAAAAGAACCCCTCTCTCCCTCTCTCCCTCCCTCTCTCTCAAGCAGTAGTCACAGATGCCTCACTGTTGGAATGGACCTGCGGCACAAGACTGACTGCCAGGACAAATGATAAAGATGAGGAAGCCCAGAAAGCCTGAGGACTAGCAAGCATGCGTGGCACACCCCCTCCCTCATGTGGCCAGCCCAGAAACTTACCATCTTCTGCAGTATTCAGTTTGAGACCCTTGCCCTTAAAACTCAGCTGTCCTCCGGCTACCTGGGTTTTGGCCAGGGTCTCTGCCAGTTTGGCAATGTCTTCAGAGGCCATGACTACAACAGTGGGTTCCCCTGAAGGTCTGTAAACTGAAGAAGAAAACTGCATTAAAAAAAAGATTCTTGGAAGAGAATGGAAGGGAGGCTGGAGATGGCTCATCAGTTATGAGTACTTGCTGTTCTTACAAAGAACCCACATCTGATTCCCATCACCCGCAAATGCCTGTTAAGTTCAGCTCCAGATCAGACACTTCTGACCTCTCAGGGCACCTGCATTCACATGCATATACTCACACATACACACTAAAAACTTGTTCTCACACATACACACACATACACCACACACACCATTGCTCACACATGTATCATACACACAATTACAGGGCTAGGAAGAAGGCTCAGTGGTTAAGAGGCTGCTCTCGCGAGAACTAGGGTTCAATTCCCAGCATCCTTATGTTGACTAAGGCCTCTGTGGGCACTGCAGACAAATGGTACAGACATATATGCAAGGCAACATACTCAACACATTAAAAAAAAAAATAGTGCTTTGGGCTGGAGAGCTAGCTCAGTGGTTGAGAGCCTCTTCCACAGGACTTGGATTTAATTCCCAGCACCTACAAAGCAGCTCACAACTATCTGTAATTCCTGTTCCAGGGGATCCGACTCCCTTACACATGTAAGCAAAACACTAATGTACACAAAGCTTAAAAAATTATTAAAAAATAGCGTTTCATGCTTTTCATCCCAGCACATGGGAGGCAGAGGCAGATTGATTTCTGTGAGTTCGAGGGGAGAGGGAGAGGGAGAGGGAGAGGGAGAGGGAGAGGGAGAGGGAGAGGGAGAAGGAGAGGGAGCCGGAGCCTAGTCTATGGAGTGAAACCAGGTCTTAAAACAAACACACACAAAAAAAAAAAAAATGAAAAAAAAAATCTTTGTAAAAAGGATTCTTTTCACTGGGCGGTGGTGGCGCACACCTTTAATCCCAGAACTTGGGAGGCAGAGGCAGGCGGATTTCTGAGTTCGAGGCCAGCCTGGTCTACCGAGTGAGTTCCAGGACAGCCAGGGCTACACGGAGAAACCCTGTCTCAAAAACAAAACAAAACAAAACAAACAAACAAACAAACAAACAAAAAAGGATTCTTCTCAAAACTCAAGGCCCTGGGTTTGATATCCCAAGCATAACCTCAAAGTGTGTGTAGAGTATTCCCCGAGATCTCTAGTCAAAGTTGTGGATTAGCCCCCTTCCTGCCATGGAGAACCCAAGAGCTAACCCACCAAGAGAAATGAATGTCATTAGAAAATTAACGATCTGGAAAGGTGGAAGAGAGATCAAGTTCTGCAAGTTCCCCTCCAAACTGCCCCAGCAGGGACATCCACCGTAGGGCAGTCAAGTCCCAAAGTAGCAGCTGCTTCAAGAGTCACACACCTGCCTGATCATCTAGGTAGCACTCTGTCTGAGGGTCCCACTCCTCAAACAGGACACAGATGGCTATGGGATCCAGGTCATCCATCCCAAGGAATGTCCCACTGCCCATGCTGGCATGATGAGGGGTGGCACACAAGGCTAAGGCCACTGCATGTCTGGTTTCAACCCTGGCCAGAGACTGTACTTGCCACAGTAGCCCCTCAGAGGTTCCTAGGAGACTAGAGGTCTCTACATCACAAGAGCTGCCATCACAATAGATCACTGTGTGGAAACTATCTCAGCCTTTCCATTGTGTGTCACGACACACTTCTTTTTTTTTTTTTTTTGGTTTTTTCGAGACAGGGTTTCTCTGTGTAGCCCTGGCTGTCCTGGAACTCACTCTGTAGACCAGGCTGGCCTCGAACTCTCGAACTCAGAGATCCACCTGCCTCTGCCTCCCAAGTGCTGGGATTAAAGGCGTGCGCCACCACCGCCCGGCTCACGACACACTTCTAACGTCGAACACATCAAGCAAGTAACTAACTACTGCAGGGCACTGTACGCTGTCTCCCATTCAGTCTCAACACTCAGATCCCAGGAGTTGAGAGCCCTACAAAGCTACCCCACATGTGAACCCTAGTGTGTTTACCTGTGCTTCTGATCCACTGGCTATGAACGAGAGTTGCCATGACTTTCCCCTCGGGGTCAAGTAATTTGCTAGAACTCATAGAACTCAGGGACAACAGTTTGTTTTTTAAAATAAAGTTATCTATTATAAAGGATGTGTATATGTGTGGATATGTGCTGGGGACAATACCCCAGACTTCTCACACTGAACTATACCTTTAACCTCCAACAAATAACTCATTCATTCATTCATTCATTCATTCACAGGGTTTCAATGTCTATGTCTGGCTGGTTGAATTCAGTCTGTAGATCAAGATGACCTCAAAGTCATAGAGAGCACAATACCCCCACCCCCCACCCCCAGTGCTGGGGTTAAAGGTGTGTACCATCATGCCAGCAAACAAAGAGTATTTAAAGAACAGCCAGATCAACATAAAGAACGCACAAGGAAGGTCTGAGAAAAAAGCCCAAGGCTTCCATGCACTCTTAAGGCCCAGTATCCTCCAAGACTCTCCTGTGTACAGATATCTGGGAGCCTTCCCAGCCTTGTCCTTTTGGAGGTTCATAGACTTTGTTACATAAGCATGATTGGTTAAATCATGGGTGTCGTTGATAAATCTGAGCTTGGGATACAGGGTGAGAGTCCCACTCTTTAACTCTGTTTAGGTTTTTCTGATGACTTCCTCCATCTACCCTAGTACTTACTACCCAAGGGACTCTTGAGCCAGCAGTCAGCATTAGAATAGGTGCTGTCTATACCAGGAAGTAGACTATAACCAAATATATATTTCATAAATGTCACCACCAAAGACAAAGTGGCCCACAGTTGGGAGGTTAACAAATTGGCTGGCATACAGCTAAGTGAAGGGACCTATCAGGCATAGGGGGCTGCAGGTTCAAGGCCCAGCACTACCACAGAGAGAAGAGAATGGATAACTCCATGTTCCCAAAGAGAAGGTGGTAGGTAACCAGAATGTGGTTTGAATAAGAATAATCCCCATAGTATATAGGCTCATACACTTGAATTCTCTCTCTGCCTTTAGATCAGGTTATACAGCTCTCAGCTACTGCTCCAGAGTCATGCATGCCACCATGCTACTCAACCTGATGACAATGGATTAAACCTCTGAAACTAATATGATGCCATTATATACTTTCTTTTATATAAGAGAGAGAGAGAGAGAGAGAGAGAGAGAGAGAGAGAGAGAGAGAGAGA